TCCCAAGCCGGGTCTGGAGCGCAATTTTGGGCGCACGCTTTCTACCTGCTATATATTTATTGGTCGATTGTGCGCGGGCTAGCCAGCCGTTTGTTGCAGATAAGATCCTGGACGGCACTTGCATGGAAATTGTCGGCAACTAATAAGGGGGGTGACAGCGGAGTTATAGAAAGATTAAGACTTTTGGTTAGTAAATAGTAACTTATCGCTTATTTATTATGATGTAATTATTTTTATTGAAACGCTCACGGTGCCTGTGCCTGCATGGTTGTAGTGGTCTTACTTTTAGGCGTCATGCTGTAACCCTCCAAAAGCTTCTGCCTTTGCAAGAGGGTAGTACCGGTATCAATCGATAGAAAAAATTCAATCTAAAAAGTAGAGGAGTAGCCGAGTTCGACGCTAATATGTACGCATTTCTATTAATTGACAGTGACCACACTACTCTACGTGAGCACTGTGAACACACGACGCAGACTGACCACCGTGGCGCAAGGTGTCCAGATAGGTTAAAAAACAAGACTGACGTCCACACGATCATCAAAACATTTACATTAGCATTAGACCGGTAGTTTACATAGACTGCAGCTAATATAGCTGGCGCACGCGACTAGCGACACATCTCTCATCAGAGTAATGATCAGCAGTCCGTCCTTGTAAGAGGTGTCGTCACGGTTAGCACAACGTATGCTAATGCGACCGGATACCTCAAGCCAGATGACAACAGCTGGGCAACCTGTCGATACGTCCTCGACTCCTCACTGTCAATGTTTTACGAGTGTTAGGGCCGCCCTAGAGGCTGGTTAATTCCAGGTGCGAAACTTATAGGTCAGAGAGGAATCGAGTTACCCTGCTCAATTTCGCAGACAATATAAATCTTCAAAAAAGACGCACGCTATTTAAGAGGTCTTATTAGAGTACAGAGGTCTGAACACAATCGAATCCATGTCAAACGGCCTGCTGGACCTGTCTAGTGCGCCTGTACATACCATGTTCACACTCTTTCAAATCTTGTCTCATTCATGCTATTCCACCTGACGGCCATCTCATGTTTTCTTTCCTCAGAACGCGTAAGTACCGCACTCCATCTGTATCATTCCGTTGGGTGCTATAATCTGTTACTAATGTAAGTAGATAAAGAGAGCATGCCAATAACAATACTGACTCGTAACCTATAGCCATAACAGATGTATTATTATTGTTTTTATTGCTATAATGATTTTATTAATGTATTGACCTTATTTTTGGGGCTCGGTCACGTGGCAGGCTGTGTGGTGTTATGACACCCATTTCCCATTTAAAATTAAATTTATTCTCAGCAGTATTCTTCGCCGGGACGCTCATGTTATTGTGGATTTCGCGAGAAGGCCGACACGACAATATTAAATCGCTGGTCACTGGCAATCTTCACGCATTCACATTTAGCCCTAAATATTATTTATTATTGGAACTGTCATTTAAGTACTGTAGAAACGTTGCTAAATATTGGTAGATTAGACCGTTTTCTTACCGAAACTGTACACAGTTAGATGCCAACAGCGAAACCATATTCAGAAAACCCTTATTCAGTCTTTATCCATCGGATGTTTCTTCAGTTGACCAAATGTACTGGGACGCCATTAATCTATCAAGTGAAACGTCGCTTTTACTGAGCATTGTTTGAAAGATCTGTTCGTTATTCATGATAACTTAAGTCTGGTAGTGCATGTGAATTTGTAATATTGTCTGACTCGCTCCACATGTATCGGACTTGGGCAGGGTTGGTCGAATCAACAACCCGGTACAAGCCGGCGCAGTGGTACGGGTAGCACAAGAAACACTCGTAACAGTTGAGTATCAGCAGTAGGATACGGCCGTAGCACCTGTACAGTGTCACTCCTGTAGAACCGTCTGTTTAGCAGCGCAACGAAACGGATTGCTAGGGTGCTCAGCGGGCACAATACCGCTTATTGACCGATTATCAACAGCCTCGCGGTCGGGTTACTGTAGTCTGTAGGTCATGTAGAGTGCAGTGATCGCAGCTCAGCCTCAAGACAGCCGAATCGTTTGACGTTTTCCGGCCTCAAGGTCAAGGATATAAAGCTAGTCGTAAATAGTGCAACATGTCGCACATTTTGCGAAAACAGATGACATTGTCGCGTCACCCGCGCTCTACTTCTCACTGAACCGACCCGTTTCTAGGTCTCCATATGTATGTATCTGGAACGCATTGCTCGATATTTTCTTGCTTATTTGTACCTCAAGTTTGGAATATCTTTTAGTCCAGTCTTAGCATTTTCCACGACAATAGAATTCAAACACGACACACGTAGACATTGTCGTTGACAACGTATTACTTGTTTGTTTTGATATTTACAGTCCTGGCATCATCCGATTAATCGTGATGTCCTGCCCAACCACCGCACCTAAAGAGTGTCGATGTGTGGGGGGGGGGGGGGGGGGGGGGGAGATAGGCCGAGAGTGAGTTCGGGGGGGGCGGTATTGCAATATATTGCAATACGGTTTTTGGTCGCAATACTCACCCCTAACAGAGAGTGTCAAATCTCAAATCAAGAAGAACGGAAGGAAAAGAGAGAGATTATTTATCACATTATGAGAATTTATTTGTCACAGCTGTGGGGGCCTACTGCGGGCGCGGTGCTTGACTTGAACGATCCTGAGGGTTTATTGCGAGATTAGCTTTGTAAAGGTGGGCCCATTTGCTCCCGCGCTGGCCTGCTTTAGAAGTTGAAAAACACCCCCTAACTCGCAAAATTTGGAACATGGGGTAATAACGGCATATATAATGACCCCCCCCCCCGGGGGGGAGACACTGGAAGAGTATTAGGTGCGGCATAAACGGCCCTAATACACAGATAAACTTTATTAGTTCAGAGACTGATACATTCAGCTCTGAAACCATGGCATGACTGTTTTGTGATTGTTAAAAGTGAACACGGCTGGAAATTAAACCATTACGTTTAGGCAGTTAACGCATGATGGGGGATGACGATGGGTCCTACATGCATTAACACGTTCAACGCTGCCGGTGTTAACAATGCACCTACCGCCGTGCGCTGGGATTTTCTTGTTTTTACCGCGTATTCACTGTTTGATTTACCACATTTTCTTTTCAGGAAAGCTAACCAAACTGACACATTTACTCTGCATGAGTGTTATGTCACCCTTACACATTCAAATAGTATGAAAATCGTTCCCCTTCATAATAATATATTGATATGAAAACAGGGCAAAAACGGACATTTCATGCATTTTCGTCTCAAATGCCACCGCACCAGTGGATTTTCGTGAGTTTGTTATGATACCATTCGACAGTATACCAGCGAACGAGCTTGGCAGTCGCCCGCTCGCCAATGTCGAGTGAAAATAATATCGGGCGAGTAAAAGCTAAAGCTGACTCGCCCATGTTGGCGAGTAAAAATAATTGTCTAAAACTTTAAAGGAACAGTAGCCTCTAGGTTCTAGGGTTATTTTCAGCTAATTTAGGTTTTTCACACGAATACAACACAAATATTCAACCATTCTACTCCATTTTTGTTTCTATTTGAAGAACAGTGTTCACTTGTTATAAAAACATACTGTCTGTGTTTGTAACCGATCTGTGTCACGCAAAATCACACAAAGCCTGACGAAATTCTCGCGTTCGCTCCCGTTGCGCAGTTTATGTAAATGGCTGTCAGAATCAGGAAACACCCACCGGCGCTCTTCGTGACCTCATTTTTGCGCCGCAATGCTGCAACGTTTTTGCAACGCTTCACTGGCGGCTTTGACGAGGCTCGTACGGGAGTTGGAAAGCAGCGTGGTAGTTTCCCAAACTGCAGTGCGCCGCGCCGCCTATAGCCCTGTACTTGCAGCAATTTACATAAACTGCGCAACGGGAGCAAACGGGAGAATTTCGTCAGGCTTTGTGTGATTTCGCGGGACACAGCTCGGTTACGAACGCAGACAGTATGTTTTTATAACAAGTGAACACTGTTCTTCAAATAGAAACAAAAATGGAGTAGAATGGTTGAATATTTGTGTTGTATTCGTGTGAAATCAAGCGAGCGTCGAGCGAATTTTGGCAGCACGCTTTCCTACCTGCTATATATTTATGTGTCAGTGTGCAGCGGTAGCCAGCGTTTGTTGCAGATAAGCATTTGGACGGCATTTGCAGGAAATTGTCGGCAATAATAAGTGAAAGCGAGTATAGAAAGATTAAGACTTTGGTAGTAAATAGATTTCGTATTTATTTAGCATTATATTTTATTGAAACGCTCCAAGTGCCTGTGCCTGTGGTTCAGTGGTTTTAGGCTATGCTGTAACCTCCAAAAGCTTCTGCCTTTGCATAAGGGTATACCGGTATCAATCATGAAAAAAATTCAATCTAAATAGAAATGCGAAGTTCACGTAAATGTACGAATTTCTTAATTAATTGAATGACCACCACTGTCACTGACTTGAACACAGACGCAGACTGACCAACCGTGGCCCAATGTCAATATTAAAAACAAACTGAAACTCCACACATCATCAAACATTACATTAGATTAGGGTATTACATAGTGTAATATGTGGCGTAGCACATTACAGTAATGTCCAGCAGTCCGTCCTTAGAGGTGTCGTCAGTAACAAGTACTACTAATGCGGGTACTAAGCCCAATGACAACACTGGCACTGTCGATAGTCCTGACTCCTATCACTGTTTACAGTTTAGGCCCTAGGCTGTTAAATTGTCGAAACTAGGCAGAAGACATCGAGTTACCTGCTCCAATTTCGCGAAATAATCTTTCAAAAAAGACGCCGGATTTGAAGGTCTATTAATACAGAGTTGAACAATCGAATCCTTCAACAGCTGCTGGATGTTATGCCGCTGTACATAAGCTTCACACTCTTTCAAACTCTGTTCATCATCTATTCCTGACGCCATTTTGTTTTCTTCCTCAAGCCGTAGTACGCACTCCATTTTATCATTCCGATTGGGTCTATAATTTATGTAAATGATAAAGAGTGCATCCAAACAATACCTGTGTAACCTATAGCCATAAATTATTATATTTGTTTTATTGTATAATGATTTATTAATGTTTGCTCATTTTTGTGTGTGGCTTTATGAACATTCCCATTTAAAAAATAAATTTATTCTCAGCCAAGTATTCATTCGCCGGACGTCATGTTTTGTGGATTTCGCGAAAGGCCGACACGAAATATTCCATCGTGTCTGGCAATCTCACGCATTCACATTTAGCCCTAAATATATTTATTATTGGAACTGTCATTTAGTACTGTAGAAACGTGTAAAATATTGTAGATTAACCGTTTCCTACAACTGTACACAGTTACGCCACAGACGAAACATAATTCAGAAACATTTATTCAGTTTTATCTCGGATTTTCTAGTTACGAAATTACTGACGCCATTATTATCGAGTGAACGTCGTTTCGAGCAAGTTTAGAAAGTCTGTTCGTTATTATGAAACTTAATTGTTGTCATTGAAATTTGTAATATTGTTGAATAAGCTCAATGTAATGGCATTGGCAGGTTGGTCGAATCAAACCGTACAAGCCGCGCAGTGGTAGGTAGCAAAAAACTCGTACAGTTGAGTTATAGGCCGTAGGCCGTAGCAATGTACAGTGTACTCGTAGACTAGTCTGTAGCGCCAAGAAACGGTATTGCTAGGGTTAGAATACCTGTATATTGACGTTAGTCACACAGCCTGGTCGGGTTATGTAGTCTGTAGTCTGTAGCAGTGCCAGTATTGGCAGTAGCTAGACAGGAATAGTTTGACGTTTCGGCCCAAGGTCAAGGATATAAAAGCTGTCGACATTTGCACATGTCGCACATTTGCGAAAATGAATTGTGGTCAGCGCTTATATCCATGAACCGACGTTTCTAGTGTTCCATATTATTATTGGAACTCTTCCTTATTTTCTTGTTATTTGTCCTAAGTTTGGAATATCTTTAGTCAGTTAGCATTTTCACGACAAAGAATTCAACAGACAACACGTGACATTGTTGTTAACAAGTATTTTGTTTGTTTTGTATTTACAGGGCATCACAGTATGGCTGCCAACCACCCACTCCTAAAAGTGTCGATGTGAATACCAGGATGTCAATGGAAATGCAAATGGCCAATGCGGCGCCTCCCCCAAATCGTAAGTTATCGGTGTTTTTTATCGTAATCTACAATCACAAATCATTTTTATGATCATCCAATGATTGATTGGATGGGGAAGAGTGTGGGAAGATATATCAATTGGAGAGCAGTGTAAGTGTTTCCCCTAGCCAAAAAGGTCTCTGAGGTGGTAAAATTTGTTTTGGTGTGTTTGCACGTTTCGAGGTCCTAGCAAAGCGAGCACCGCAGTCCGCAGGTGCTCGCCCAGCTAGGGGGGTTTCCTCTAAAAAAATTGAAAGAATGGTGCAATTTGGTGCATTCTAAGCTATTCTGAACACACTGTATGAGATTTTTGTCAGCGAGGCAGGTTTTTTTGGACAAATTTCTGTGTGGCAGCTGAGAATTTGAGCAAAGCGGCGCGCCTTGCTCGTGTCAATGCAGGGGAGACACCCGGGGGGGGGGTCTCTATTAGAACATTACCCCATGTGCATTCTCACTAAAAATAATAGGCCCCCTAGTGCGAACTGCACATTGGAAAACCCTACCCCCTATTGCAGACACAATGAAGAATACCACCCCCTATTGCATACACAATGAAAATTATCCACCCGCTATTGCAATGCATACACAATGAAGAGTAGTCCTACCCCTATTGCGAAGTCTTGCAGACAAGTGGAGGGCAAAGAGTGGAGGGAATACTTAGGACACAAAGAAGACTACTTGCAACTCTTGTTGCTGTCAACAGAGAGTAGGGTGTGAACGATATACCGGTATATCGGTATATTGCAATATATTTTTGAAAACTCGATATATCGCGATACACTTCCGGATATCGATATTTTACGATACTGGTGTATAACAAGAAATAAATTACTTGACACTTGCCTTTATGTCTATATTGTTAATGGGCTCGAAAATTATGCACTGGCGGTGTATATATATTACGAAAGCACAATGCCTACACGACGCATACAGTATTACTGGTAAGCGACCACTGCGTGGAGCACTGCGCGGTACTACTGCGCGGCCAGAGTGGGGCAGACGTGTGCGCGAGGCAGAGATCACGGCAACCAGGGAGTCTATATATAGCCTATGCTCACCTGAGGCGTGTTCAGGAGACCGAACGCTCGCGAGCGCTCGCCTTCTGAACGACACTGCGCGAGCGAGCGAGCGCTCGCGAGCGTTTGCGCGCAAGTTTGAAAAGCTGTTCGCTCAGTGCGCGAGTTGTTTACAAGATGGCGACGAAAAATCTGGCGATGCGAATCTAACATTTCTGACGTCAATTTGCAATCTATTTCAACTTTATTTCACTTTTCATTCATTTCATTTACTTCTAAATTCAATTCTTATCAATTTCGTCTGCTAATTCGTTTAACGATACTTGTTGTCTCTCGCGATTAAAATCTGCTGAGTAACCCTCCATGGGGGCCGCCATCTTTGATCAAGCAAGCGCACAGCGAGCGCACAAGCAAGCGCTCGTTTGTCGTTCAGGAGGCGCTGCGTTCGTTCATCGAGCGTTCGCATCGAGCGCTCGCTCTCCTGAACACGCCTCTGATCGAGTGCGCCGCGCCGCGCGCGATACAAGCTGAAGCGAGCACCCACTGGCACTGTTTCAGTTTCAGTTTCAGTTTAAGTTTCAGTATCCAGTATTAGCCAATTATGCAGCAGGGGTATTGTGTATTCCAGCCACGGCAGTGCCTTTCGAGAGGGTATTCAGTACAGCGGGTGACATTGTTACGGCACAGAGGACTGCACTCAGGGGCGCAAATCCAGGGGGGGACAGGGGGACATGTCCCCCCCACGAATTTTCAGAGGGGGGACATCATATCAAATGTCCCCCCCACGATTTTGGATCACCATGATTTTGTGTGTGCGTGTGTGCGTGTGTGCGTGCGTGCGTGCGTGCATGCGTGTGTGTTTGTGAAGTGAGAACCTTTTTATTGTGTGATAGTGCGTCAACGATTGGCTTCTTTCCCTTTTTTTGCCAGCTTTCATTTCATTCAAGTGCATTTGAGAGCATAATAATAATCATGCACAACTTGAGAAAAATGTACTTGATAAATTTAGTACCGTTTCTTTTTAACACGTTTTTTTTTCTTAATTAAATAATTCTTATGCAGAAATCATCAAGAGAAAGTATGTTTATGAAAGTTTAGGAGATATCACTCACATTAGACACTGATTCAAGCTGGGAACACGAGCTATATTCATGCAAAGAGGACACTTAGTAACTGAGCATCGGTTTTAATAATGTAATTTCCATTGCAAATTGATGATATATATACACGCATATATGATATGACTGGACCAACAATAATAACGGACCAATTTATTTTTGTGATCAGCCTCAACACCAAATGATTGGTTTTTCTGCTTTTTGTTTTCTTTGATTTTATACTGCATGTGGACACCCTTTTCGTAATCTTATCACAAACCAAAGGTGCGTGTGTGTGTGTGTGTGCGTGCGTGCGTGCGTGCGTGCGCGAGTGTTGGTGTTGTGTGTGTTCACGGGGCGTGCACAGGGACCCCCCCCCCCTGCTCCGCGCAGAAAACGCATCTGAGGGGTCTAATTTCAAAAATTTCCCCCCCCCCTTCGCGTGTTTGCTACTGGTGTCCCCCCAATTCAAAATGGATTTGCGCGCCTGACTGCACTGTCAGCGGAAAACATTGCCGTGCTTCTGTTTCTCAAGAAAAACATGAGAAATTAAATCATGTCATATAATACAATATATGATGATATTAAAACCATCAAATTGTTACTATATCATGGCATGGTATACACTTCCCAATACGTATTGGAAAATATTGCAAATACGGTTTTGTTGTATTGCAATATATTGCAATACGGGTTTTGTGTCGCAATACTCACCCTAACAGAGAGTGTCAAATCTCAAATCAAGAAGAACGGAAGGAAAAGAGAGAGATTATTTATCACATTATGAGAATTTATTTGTCACAGCTGTGGGGGCCTACTGCGGGCGCGGTGCTTGACTTGAACGATCCGAGGGTTTATTGCGAGATTAGCTTTGTAAAGGTGGCGCCATTTGCTCCCGCGCTGGCGCTGCTTTAGAAGTTGAAAAACACCCCCTAACTCGCAAAATTTGGAACATGGGGTAATAACGGCATATATAATGACCCCCCCCCGGGGGGGAGACACTGGAAGAGTATTAGGTGCGGCATAAACGGCCCTAATACATAGATAAACTCTATTAGTTCAGAGACCGATACATTCAGCTCTGAAAACATGTGCATGACTGTTTTGTGATTGTTAAAAGTGAACACAGCTGGAAATTAAACCATTACGTTTAGGCAGTTAACGCATGATGGGGGATGACGATGGGCCGGCCCTACATGCATTAACACGTTCAACGCTGCCGGTGTTAACAATGCACCTACCGCCGTGCGCTGGGATTTTCTTGTTTTTACCACGTATTCACTGTTTGATTTACCACATTTTCTTTCAGGAAAGCTAACCAAACTGACACATTTACTCTGCAGTGATGTTATTCACCCTTACACATTCAAATAGTATGAAAAATTCGTTCCCTTCATAATAATATATTGATATGAAACAGGGCAAAAACCGGACATTTCAGTGCATTTTCGTCTCAAATGCCACCGCACCAGTGGATTTTCGTGAGTTTTTATGATACCATTCGACAGTATACCAGCGAACGAGCTTGGCAGTCGCCCCGCCTCGCCAATGTCGCAGTGAAAATAATATCGGCGCGAGTAAAAGCTAAAGCTGACTCGCCCATGTTGGCGAGTTAAAAATATTTTCTAAAACTTTAAAGGAACAGTAGCCTCTAGGTTCTAGGGTTATTTTCAGCTAATTTAGGTTTTAATTGCCTTACATAAAAGTTTCATGGTTCAATCACCATTAGAAATATTTTTTTTAAATGTTTTAAAACTAACGACTACAGTTTGATTACAACGACGTGGCGCCACTCAAAGCGCACGATCTGAGAAGTTGCCGCAAAACCACTTTCCAGCAAGGGCTACAGACCGAGGGTATTTTCTATTTATTCATTTAAAAGCAAAAGGATTGTTAATATCTTATAAACGACATATAGTTTCAGTTATAATTATGGATAAATTTGCCCTAAAATGAATATCGTTCGGTTAAATAGCATTTAGGTATAAATATAATTGCACTTTTGTGATTAGCCCTCGGTCATTTACCTGCAAAATAAAAATGCAAATACGCCAACTTTTTCAGGGTGGCAGCACGGTCGCGGGTGTCATGGCGCCGTTCAAATTTCGTAGCGTTGATGTGTAAATAATTAATTAAGTATCTGTGTGACAAATACATGTGGGTATAGACGATTTGTTATACAGTAAGTACAGTTGTATGCAGTAAAATCCTAGAGGCTACTGTCCCTTTAATAAATTGTTGGTTCCTTACGTTATATATCCAAACATTGATGAAAAACAGTTCTAGCGATTGTGAAGGGTGGCTATCGCACGGCATCCTTACTTTATATTATCAAAGGTCGCGGACAGTCAGCACAGCGTGGCTGTGTATACGTGCCTGGGGCGGCGAGGGGTGGGGGGAGTGCAGGATTGTTTAAAAGTCGCATGGGGCATGTTCATATTGGGGTTGGGCACCGCTGGGATCCAGAGATGACAGCAAATTCTTTCCTGAAATTGAGGAAAAAAGCTGCAATCGGGAATGACACACAATGAGCGTGCCGGCATGCAAAAATTAACGTTGTGTGATTTCATTACGATTTTCCATTATATATTGTAAATATCAGGAGTGTATAATATGATTATAATATATAGATCTATTCTATACATATATATATATATATTATCTATCTATCTATCTATTTATATAATATAGATCTCTATATTATACACTCCTGGTAATATGATATGCACTGAACCAAAAGAGGACCTTAACGGCTCATAGATTGCAAGTAAATTTTGTACAGATCTGAAAATAATTAAGCGTCGAGGCCTGTGTTAATTCAGTTGGTAGATAGATTTACTTTTTAACTACATTACTTTGCCCTAAGCATTGTACTTGCATAACTTGGCAGAGACTGAGCAATTCAACCCTTGGCAATTTGAAGTTTATGTTTCTATTTCTTTAAGTAAGTATTTTAGTCTTTGGTGTCCCCAAAGATTAAAATACTCAACTCAAAAGTGATATTTATCAATTAATTTATTGACTCACTCGCTCAGTTTGGCGAGAGGTTTTTATTTTAAAGCTCTAACACTGGTATACTATTTTTTCCGGTAAGAAATGTGACAATGCTTACACATGTGTGGGGTATGAACTTTGTTTTATGTTTCTACATGCAAAAATGCCTCAAAATTTTATATACTACACAGTTATTATATTATATACCGTTAGGAAAACGGTAAACAACCCTTGTTTCGATCTACGTCTTCTAGTTTACCTTCTAGTTTTACGAATTTACCTTGAGTCTGTCTCAAAACTCATAATTTCACGTTCGAATCAACGGTAAAGCATTGTATTCTTTATTTCATGTAAGACTGGGGTAATATAGATTGTCCCTGTTTAATATCTAGGTAGGTAGTGCCTGCCATCTGTTGGAAATCAGAGTAACAAAAACCAATAATCTATCCAGGAGCTGACTCGTGGATCCGCGGGGAACGTGTTAAAGGCCTGAAGAGGACAGCCCTACATAGACAATATCATTAGATCATACAAAGTTGTAATTTTCGAAAAATTGGAACTGGAAACATTTGTATAAGTATTATCTAATAAGCTGTTATTTTACTATCGGAATATAGCTTGGGAAATTGCAAGGCAAGCTCTAGAGCAGGCGAAACATGGTAGCTCAAGTAAGGATTCTACTCGGGTGCAGCAAGCTGATAAGGCACAATTGGAGTTACAAAAACAAATGCAGGTATGTACACAGGATACCTGTGTTTTGACTTGTATGGCCCTGTTGTAACTCTATCTACATCTAAGAGTACTTACAAGTATTGCACAGGGGCCGGTTTCACGAAGCGTACTTAACTTAAGTATGATTTAATCACTAATCATACTTAACTTCTCATAATTATGATTAGTTAATCATGCTTAAAAATCTGTTTCACGAAGCGATTTAAGTACATATTTAACTAATCACATAATTAGCCGACTTCAACATGAATAGACTGGTACTTGCTCCCATCTCGGCTTAGTTACTCGATGGGAATCAAGTAATCGAGGTGGGAGCGAGTACCAGTCTAAAACAAATTACACTATATTCAATATGGCGGACAACGCCAAAAATATCTGCCAATTTGGTACATTAAGGAATTAATTTGTAACTATAATGACTGAAATAGTACAGCAAATCTTAGATAATTTAAATTTCCTTGGGAAAAAATTGAAGTAAAATTCCCAATTGTAAAATCTGCAGCATACTACTTCTAGTACTAGCAACTAATTATGATTAGTGGATTTAATCATGCTCCTGAGTAGAATTAAATACTGTGATTAACTTAATCATGATTAAAGTTAATTACTTCTCGTTAGTTAAGTACGCTTCGTGAAACTGGCCCCAGATGTATATATATGTAACCGATTTCATGCATGGATACATTGAAATAAAGTGTTTTTCTGTCATCAATTTCAGGATCAGCTGTCATTGCAACAGCAGTGGAATATGTATCAGATGGGATATGGCAACCAGTATGAGCAGCATTCATACGGAGGTCCACATCCACCATTTGGACAGCAACCACCCCCACCTCCACCTCCACCCCCAGAACTGCAGCAGCAGCAGCAGCAGCAGCAGCAGCAACACCTACAACAGCAGCAGCAACAGCAGCAACAACAGCAGCAGCAACAGCAGCAGCAACAAAAGAAACTACAACAACAACAACAACAACTGCAACAGAAACAGCATTTCAACCAGTACAACAATGTGTACAATATGCGGGTAAATTGCCTTACTAGCCATGAGTTTTATTAGTTGATCTCACATAAGCAAATTGACCTTGTATTATACTGGTAGTATATGTGTATCTAACAACAATAACCAGTTGTAGAATTGGTTCTTGGTATAGAAAATGATGTTGACGTCACGTGTTATTATCGCAGTGAATGTTACCAGTTGTGTCTGTTGAACACCGCATCCTTAAAGGCATAATAGGCCCATTGATTATGCAAAGTTGACGAATACTACAGTAACTGGCACCTGGTGTAGTTAATAAGTACATTACCTTATAGCCAAACGCGTATTAGTTTGTCCAATATCACTGCTAATTACTAAGAAATGTCTAATTGAAATCCATAAATCTGGTAATCTGGCGCCAACGCTAAATTGGTTGCCAAGCAAAATAGCCTCGAATTCGGTTAGGTGACGTCACATGTTGCTACGGGTGTTGAGCAGAGAATTGTTTGTCCCGGGATGCTTATAACGACTAATGAGCTAGTAGAATGTATCTCTGGGTGTATTCTCGGTATTGAGGCACAAGTAAATAACTATGGGTGCTAATGAACGGGTACCCACATGTCTTCAATTTCGGACACAGTTGTATTTGTTTGACCAATATACGTAAATATGCGTAGTGCCGTCTGCTTTCCATGTTTAGTCTGTGGCCGTGGTTAGTCCGCGATCCCCCCATAGTGTTGGCACCCAACACAGCCTACTTCATTATCACGAGCGTCCGTGATTCGTACGTGGATTCCACGTTCATTACAATCAGAGCTACTGTTACGTATACAATTTCGGTACTGTACTATAAGTGATGCAGTGATTGATATCCACGTTACTTCGACTTGCCCACAGATGCAATGGCAAGGACATCAGAATGCAGCGAACCGGTTTGTGCCACCCGATCAGAACCTGTCTCCCAAGGGTCCGCGACAGGGCGGCTTGCTGGGCATGTCTCCAACTGGATATCCACAGCAGCGGCTACCCTTCCAGCCGCTGGGAAGACCCAACAAGAAAAGCAATCGTGAGTGTAGGTGTGATGTGTGATGCAGTAGACTCCCTGCTTCACCTCGCAGCCGGTGAGGGCATAATTTAGATAAGGTGGGAGTGACAAGTACCTAAATTGTGCAATACATGATATGTGTAATAATAATGGCAAATATTTCAATCGAATTACTAAATCTGAAATTTATATACATATATATATTTATTTATTTTTGGCAACATTAATATACATATAATATATATATATCAGGAGTAGATAATAGGGAAGGAGTGTGACATCAATAAACAAGGGAAATTCGTCATTTACTAGCCTTATAATACCTACGATTTACTACGCGTAACTCATCCAACTTGAGCTCAAATCGTACACGGTACATTCGCCTAGCATCGTGCGAAATCGTTTCCTCGTTTACACAAGCAATCCGGAGATACAGACTAAAACGTACGACACGATTATCCATTCTTTGGCCATCAATCCAAGCCGATTCCCCGAATATATTCAAACAAAAGGCAGCTACTAACGCGCTATTGCTAACACGGCGAGGCATGTGGCTCGCTGGGAGATTAGGCATCAACACTCGGCGAGATAACCTTTCACTCGGTACACAGCTACATGCCGGCATACCGGCGTACAGCAGCCCCCACTGCACGTACTGGCATGCCCCCACGCACACGCACGCCAACCGCAATCAGCAGCAGCTGATCGGGCTCAAATCTCCCAGAGAGCCACATTGCTCGCCGAGTTAGCAATAGCGCGTTAGTAGCTGGCTGCCTTTTGTTTGAATATATTCGGGGAATCGGCTTGGATTGATGGCCAAAGAATGGATAATCGTGTCGTACGTTTTAGTCTGTATCTCCGGATTGCTTGTGTAAACGAGGAAACGATTTTCGCACGATGCTAGGCGAATGTACTGTGTACGATTTGAGCTCAAGTTGGATGAGTTACGCGTAGTAAATCGTAGGTATTATAAGGCTAGTAAATGACGAATTCCCCTTGTTTATTGATGTCACACTCCTTCCCTATTATCTACTCCTGATATATATATAATGTATATTAATGTTGTAAAAATGAAATTGTTGATGTTATCATTTTACTAGTGACTCTTTGTATATCTCGTAGGGCGGCTCTGAGTTCATTATTGTGTTTTTATGCAGAAGCGCCGGGTGCTGGCGGAATATTCTATCGGCCGCAGAACATGCAGGTGCGGCCAGCGCCACCGACATTGGGCAGCAGCGCTGTGAATCGCGATATGTCGGAGAAGAATGATAATGAGGGCTGGAGTCAGGAGGAGAGTCAGACGCAGACAAACAGCGACAATGCGGCTGTCGATCAGGCACGTGCAGAATTCCGAATTTAGCAATGTCGTAATCCGTGTATTTGAGTCTGCCTGATAAGAAAGGGCGGTTTGTAATACTTTTGCCTATGCTGACACACACAATTTGCTTGCAGTGCGCACAGGCGATAGCTACTGTCCAACGTGCCCATGTTTGCTACTCTAGAACTTTGCATGAAATTTGGTTGCCAAGAATGTTATCTGTATGGCATGTAAAAGGAAAAATCTGCACGCAATCATTGTAATTTTTTCAGCAGGGCGTAGAGGGAGGTGGTATGAAACCAAAGCCGGATCTTGGGAAGGTCTCACCTGCTGTAGACAAGCCACCTACAGATCCCATGTCTCAGGACGCGTGGCCCGACAGTTTAAAGTGAGCGCCGGCTGACTTCCTTGCTTACCGTATTAACCGTAGCTGAGTGGCAGATGTACCTGTCGAATGTTGGGATCGAATTTTCACCACGATGCCAACGTGTGGTGATTGGCCTCCTTAACTGGCATGGTGCTGCTGAAAATTTAAAATCCATGGCGTACAAGCATCGTTGTTGCCCTACCTAGCTTGCCCCCGTGTCCATCCCACGAATGCCAAGTTAAGCATGTATTCATCTTTATCTCACGCAAAAATTGTTGTGTAAAAGCATGTGGCCACGACAACCGTACTGTGAAGCAAATGTTTGCTGTGGTGCCCTAACAATTTCTGAGTAAATGGTAGGCAACACACCCCTTGTCCTAACAAAAATAATATTCGAATCACATGAGGTGATGCAGTTACTGAACGGAAAGCCGGTGTTGTTCGTTACACAGGAGGTATGTCGAGCGAGCGTTTGCTCAGTGCAAGAACTCCGTTGAGCAAGATTGCACAGAGATTATCCTGAAAGGACTGCTCACGAAGGCTTTCAGCACTGGTGGTGTGTACAAGATTGACTGGGATCGTGAGCCGCTGGCAAGGTATGCAGGCGGTTGCACGCCAAACTCATTGCTACGTTGCTATAATACTGGGGAAATGCTGTACGCATCTAACATTTTCGAGAGCATGCATGTCCTTGCATCTCGCAGTGCTTCGCTGATATTGTCCAATAGGGAAAACTTTTCTTGTCAGACATAGTGACTTTATTTGGCATTTTGTTAATCGTGTAATACGTTTATCATTCAGATGTTGTAGTAACTTGCAGGTGCCTCCCCAATATTGTAAGAAGGTTCTTATACAGATCTTATAATAACTTGCAGTTTTTTGCTAGTGTTGTGAAAGTAGTGAACTGTTGTTACACGCAAACTGCCTAAGATGTCCCCAGTACCGGAGACCAGACAGAAGTGTCAAGTGTTGGAGATTCGATCGTGTTGAATGCTTGCAGACTGGGTAGCAAGGAACCAGAAACAAAGGAGCCCTCGCCCCCTCACTTCATCCCCTTACAAGTGCGCCATCAGCAGCAGCAGCAGCAGGCCAGCCGCAGGGGACGTAGTCCATTCCGTGGATCCGCGTCTGGAAAAGGGAGGGGTCGACAGGAACGGCAGGAAAGGCAGCGACGGTCACGGTCAAAGTCGCGCGATCGGTCGGCGGAGCGATCAAGGTCAAGAACGCCCCCTCGATTCAGGATGAGGCGACGCACCCACACGAGGTTCGCTCGCACCTCCCCACGCATGTTGTTATCCTTGTGAATTTATCCAATCTTACCTGGCAATTGCTGCTCTGTACTGAGGCAGTAGTAATTATTTACTGCGTAGATAATAAGTGGTGGATAGCATGTTTTCTTTGTGACAGGATACCGATTTAGGAGATTTTACAAAATGTTGTCTCTTGTTTTCACTCCTGCAGTAGTTCGAGCGTGTCGTCAGATGGAGAGAGCGCCACGGGTCGGCGAAGCATGCAGTCGCGACTTGGCGCCATGCGGTCGAGTCCCGGCGGTGAGCCGGAATTCGAGACGAAGAGGCTGCGGGGCAAGAAGATGATGATGCAGTCTCACCTCTCTCACATGCAGCAAATGTCATCGTTCAAGGAGAGGAAGGGCAAGGCGAACAAGAAGAACATGAAGAAGAAGAATAAAGGGTACAGTGCGTGCTCTCTCCCCGTTTCTCTCTTTCTGTGTCTCTCTCTCGCTCTCTTTCTTTCTCTGTCTCTTTCGCTCGCTCGCTCGCTCTCTCTCTCTCTTTCTCTTTCTCTCTCTCTGTATTTTTCTCTCTGCCTCTCTCTATATCTGTTTCTGTCTGTCTCTCTGTATCTCTCTCTGTCCCTCTCTCTCTCTCTCTCATGCCCTATCTCTCTCCCTCTCACACCCTATCTCTTTCCCTCTTCTCTCTCCCTCCCTTCTTTACCCACTCCTTCCCTCACCTATTCAGTCTGTAGAAACATCATAGCAGACAGAGTAGCTAGCTAACAATGATTTTTAATGGGGGGCCATATGTGTGCAGGGGTCGAATTAGCCGCTAGCTCGCTAGCCTGGGACTAGTAATTGTTTGGAAGGGCTAGTTAAAGGACAGGGTGGCTTGCCCGTCGGGCAAGCAAGTAAACAATTCCAGACCAGATTTCGTAATTCGTGAAAGGAACGTGTGTGAGTGAGCGTGTGCGTGCGTGAGCGCATACATGTGTGCTGAGCGCGTGTGTGTGTGATGTGTGTGCGTAGGCGCGTGTGTGTGATGTGTGCGCGTTAGCGCGTGTGTGCGACGTGTGTGCGTTAGCGCGTGTGTGCGACATGTGTGCGTGAGCGCGTGTGTGCGACGTGTGCGTGAGCGCGTGTGTGCGACGTGTATGCGTGCGTATACGCGTGTCAGTGATACGTGTTCTTGTGTTGCACGTGGGCGTTGTAAATGCGCGCGCGCTTGTGCGCGTGCGTGTGTGCGTGCGCGTGCACGTGCGTGCGTTCGCCCGTTTATGCGTTCCCTCATGCGTGTGTGCGCGCGTGTGCCCGTGTGTGTGCGTGTGCATTGCATTTGTCCGTGTGAGAGTGCATGTGGCAATTCGTGTATGTATATTTGTACCGTATCAAAGTATCTCCGGTGACCATATATATAATATACATCCATGGGTGGTTTTATTCTACGGTTTCATATATGACCGGACGAGTAGATGAGTGCACATATAGATAATAACAATAGGTAACGGTTTATAAGCAACCGGTTTTTGGCGAGCGGAAACATTAACACAAGTGACCGGTTGCGGAAACGATTAGACTGGCATGCAGTCTTTGCGTACTAAGATTAATTCTCATGTAATAGCACAATGTAGAGTGTCGGGGGACCCGTCTATAGCGCTGGTATCAACATGGCAACCTTCATCATCGAAGACCTGTTCCACTAATGGTCCACAACTGGACCACTAATACAGTGTTATAGTCACACTCACAGTCACTCTGGCTGTTTTAATAATAAAATATTTGTAAATAAACAAACCTCTCAATACAACAATACACAATATATACACAATATAAACAATACCCTCAGAAAGCATCTCGGAGCATTCGTGAGATCAACAATTTTCCCGCGCTTGCAACCACTATTGACATCATGCTTTTAAGGGCTAGTTGAAAACCAGAAGGGCTAGTACAAACCTTACCTTACTAGCCCTTCGGGCTAACTTGCATATTGTCCTTATTTCTACCCCTGGTGTGTGTCTCTTACAGTGGCAGTCTGGGCGTGTATCAGGATGACGACCCTCAGAAGGAGGTGCGTCTGCAGAGTCGCGCGGCTCGCTTCCACGCCACGCTCGATCGGCCAGGCAGCGGCAACAAGCAGCAGCAGCTGAAGGGCAAGAGACAGCGCGGACAGAAGTTGGTGTTGAACATCAGCGTGCTGGTGAGTAGATACTGCTGCGCGCATTGCCATAAATTACTTTAATAGATAAATGAATAAGTAAACGAGTCTCGTCATTTTGTCGAGTAACGAGAGGGTTGCTGCGTTGTTTCTGCACTTGGCTTCATCGTTGTCATTGTGTTCAATCGTGTTACTCGGTATCAATGTGAAGCTAGCAGTAAGTCTAGCAGTAACATTTCTGTATGAAAGGCCTGTCAGTTGCCACGAACGGTGCCCTTGTTCTCTGTGTATTCATCATCGATGCTAGGTGACTGGTTGCTAATGAGCGATTGTAATTAATGTGATGCAGAACGACGGGGACGAGAGCAACATGGACTGGGAGTCGGCCGTCATCGTCGGAACCTGTCAGGACATTGAGAAGCCGTACCTCAGGCTAACCCAGGTAAGTTACCTGCTCAAGTGTATTTCCTGCTCAGGTGAGTTACCTGCTCAGGTGAATTACTTGCTTAGGTGAGTTACCTGCTCAGGTGTATTATCTGCTCAGGTGAGTTACCTGCACAAGTGTATTACCTGCTCAGGTGAGTTACCTGCACAAGTGTATTACCTGCTCAGGTGAGTTACCTGCCCAAGTGTATTACATGCTCAGGTGAATTACCTGCTCTGGTGTATTACCTGCTCAGGTGAGTTACCTGCACAAGTGTATTACCTGCTCAGGTGAGTTACCTGTTCAATTGTATTACCTGCTCAGGTGAGTTACCTGCACAAGTGTATTACCTGCTCAAGTGTATTACCTTCTCAAGTGAGTTACCTGTGCAGGTGAATTACTTGCTCAAGTGAGTTACCTGCTCAAGTGTATTACCTGCTCAGGTGAGTTACCTGCACAAGTGTATTACCTGCTCAGGTGAGTTACCTGCTCAGGTGAGTTACCTGCTCAGGTGAGTTACCTGCTCAGGTGAGTTACCTGCTCAGGTGAGTTACCTGCTCAGGATAAGCCGTTGTTCGTCTGCATCCCTCGCCATTCGTTAGTCTCTCGCTGTCTCTAAATTGCCACCAGTTGTATGAGTGGCTTAAGAGACTGATCAGGCTCCTCTCTCTCTCTATCTCTTAGGCACCCGATGCATCCACGGTGAGACCTGTTGCTGTGTTGAAGAAGGCAGTAGCCGCCGTGCAACGCAAGTGGAAGGAAACGCATGACTACCACTACGTATGCGAACAGCTCAAGTCTATCCGGCAGGATCTCACGGTGAGGAGGAGCTGAGATGTAGGGTAGTGTGCAGTGTGAAGGCTAAGGTGTATAGTAGTGCGAGAGGATGATGGCTAAGGTGTGGGTTGGCATGGCGTGGTGTGAGGGAGTGAAGTGTTGCAGCATTGCCGGGTCTGCTGTTGGTGAGGGACATGGTGTGATGTAGTGAGAAGGGTCGAGACATAGTTCAGCCTTGGACAGTTGGATGAAGTTTGAGACATTGGATTGGACAGGGTTTATCCCTGGATCCTGCCAGAATCATGCATGTAGTTTTAATCACATGAGTGTAGATGAGTTTCTGGGGAGAGTGCATTGGGTTAGCATTGATTGCAGTGGCTTGGCAGAGGGCCTGCTGCACGGTGTAGCAAGCTAACCGGCTGTGTGTATGTGTTTGATGTTACAGGTGCAGTGCGTGCGTGATCTGTTCGCAGTGAGATTATACGAGACCCACGCCCGCATCGCGCTGGAGAAGGTATCTATTGCTAATCCTCTTCACCTGATTCACCACATAGCAACTAGCCACTGTGGTTACTTACCAATGTGTGTGTTGTCACCTCACAGCTAGATACTCTGGCCCTTTCTTTTTTAGTGGTTAAAATTTTGTTTCCTCCAACAGAATCAGTGCAAAGTTTGGGAAGCCAAAACTATGAGGGTATTTTTATCGACTACGCTTTGAATACTTTGATGATCATATGGGCACGCCTAATACGGTCACGTAGGATGCTGATTGGCAGTCGTTAAGATGGTAGATTTTGCACGCTCGCATCTTGTTGCAAGACATGGAGTAATAGATGGCTTTATGTGTTGCCAGGGCGACCACGCGGAGTTCAACCAGTGCCAGGCTCAACTGAAGGCTCTCTACTCGGAATTAGATGCAGAGGAGCTACCTAGTCACTATGAATTCATCGGCTACAGAATTCTCTACTATATCTTCACTAATAACCATTTAGGTATTAACCCTTTACGTGAATTGTGATTAGAGAGGGGGAGTGGAAGAAAAAAGAGCGAGCGAGCGAGAGAGAGAGAGAGAGAGAGAGAGAGAGAGAGAGAAAGAGAGCGAGACATACACAGACAGAGACAGAGGGGGGTGGAGATAGACATAGACAGAAGCAGACAGACAAACAGACAAAGGAAGATGGATGTGGTATCCTCGCTCACACTCACCATGTATTCTCTCTCCCCACCCCCACGCATGCAGATATCACGACGACGCTCACTACGCTCACGCCGGACGCACGCCAGCACCTCGTCATCAGCTACGCCCTCGAGCTGCGCGCGCACTGGCACCTCGCCAACTTCCGCCGCTTCTTCCTGCTCTACAAGCAGGCGCCGATGATGGCTGGCTACCTCGTCGACTGGTTCGTGGAGCGCATGCGCAAGAATGCACTCACGATCATCATAAAAGCGTACGTATTGTTGGGGGCCACGCGCGTCGCCGTAGGTCCGTGCACACGAGCGTGCAAGGGTAATGTACAACCCGCCACAGTTTCTTTGTTATGCGCGTATCCTCAATGATTCGTCGTGCTGTAGGTAGCGTTGTGGGGGCAACATGTCATGATTCCTAATATTGTGAGAGCGACTTTCTTAGCGTGTGTGTTTTTGGTGTAACCTTGGGTTTATGAGTTTTTGCGTATCATTTAGATTTTATTCACTTGTGGCTTTGCTAGGGTAGACATGCATAATACTGTTCTTTTGGGTAAGTATGAATCAGTACAATTATTAGTTCGGTGCATACAGTTTTGGTCTTTAGAACGTGTTCAATTATTTTTCTTTAAATTGTTTGTAATGTAATCGAATTGTGCAGTAATTTACATCTAGAATGTGTTGATATTAGTGTTTTACAAATTTCCATGAACACGTTTTAAGGCCTAATCTGTAACCGACAACACTGCATTGCTAATCTGTTTGTTTCTGCAGCATTGCTGCTTGACACCCGAGGTAAGTACGCATAGTTTTGAAAGCCAGAGATGGCTGTGCAATTATAACTGAGTAATCATGATCGTCTCTCTCTCTATAGCAGGCTTTATCGTGCATGTCCATGCCACACTAATTAATTTGTGTTTTTCACTGTGTTCAGATACCGGCCCACACTTGCCACCGCGTTCGTGAAAGACCAGCTGGCCTTCGATAATGACGCGGACTGCCTAACCTTTCTAGAGCAGTACAGCGTTATCTTCACTGACATCTCAAAGTCAAAAATCGACTGTAAGAACAGTCAGGCTCCTGTGCTCGCTGCCATGCAGCAGTGACCCTCATGCCCCTGCACTCGTGTTGGTGGCTGCCCTGTAATGGTTCCCCAGTCAAGAAAGCCTTTGAGACTGAAGAAGCCATAGTAATCGTCCTTGCGATTGTGATACTTTATTGAGCATGTGCTCATCTCACAGAGGGGCTGCATGCGCTGTAAATATGTATGATACGGATAACGAAGGGCTTCCCTGGGGCGGTATTCCCTCATCCTACCCCACGAGAGTCGTGCCGTGTATATACACATCAAAAATTACAAGTGACTTCTGATGTGAAACTAACCTCCTAATCACTATTCAGTTGCTATAGAGATAGGTCTAATCTAGTAATTTGGCAGGCTGCGCAATCAGATCAAGAGATGATTGCCATGGCAATGTTCGCCGTGGTGTCTTTAACAGTTATAGGAGGCTGTGTCAGTCGTTCGAAAGACGGCACCATGGGCAGTGTACAGACCTAGAGACCCTTGAAGCGAGAGCAGTGTGGAGGGGAAACTACAAGCTGCACTGTTTGTCACATTGTATCGGCGAATATCTGTGCGCGTTTGTGTTCCTGGTGCCTGTCCCGTGGGATGACTCGTACAGTTGGACATTAAGTGGAGTTGGAAGTGCTTGGTCCTCACTTGGCTTCATGTGTGAATCTAGCAGACTATCTTGCGACCAAACTGCGGTTCTGCTGCGATGCCATCGTGGGATAGGTTCGGATCTTTAATCGACAGATCGGGGGCTGTATGTAAAACGGATGCTTCGTGCCAGACAAGGGTGTCGCCTCTCCTGTCAAGATCTTCGGGTGGTGACGCTACCGTTTCCCATCCATTACGGAGCACACGACACGTCCTTACTCCGGATTCCAGTTGCCGGTGTCCGTCCATACGATGGGGATCGTTAATCTTCACCATCCGAAGTCGTGTCACTCGGCATCACCACCTGGGGCAAGCATCGCTCCTTGGTCATCATCAGCATTTGCTTTGGCAGCCACATCACACCGGACGTTCTGTTGAGATTTCAGTTGCTCTTCCGACGAGAAAGCGTGAGCGTGTAGGCCGTGTCAACCACGTTAACGTGTTGAGCGTGAAGAGTGTTCTCCGTGCGCGTGGATCTCGCGTCATGCTGCTGGAAAGAGTTTACGGAAAGAGTTTACTCTTTCTTCCAAGAATGTTCCAGTGAAGTGTGCTTTCGTCGATTACAGCACTTTAATGCGCTGTATGGGGAACTGTTTTTGGAGTAAGTTTGTGAAGCAGCATATGTGTAGTATGTGGTCATCGTGGCGAGATGGCGCCAGTAGAGTTTATAGTGAAAAGAGCACTATTAGAGTTTGCCATGGAGAGGGTGCTATTAGAGTTCGCCATGGAGAGGGTGCTAGTAGTCTACATGAAGAGAGGAGGCGAGTAGAGAGTGTTCTGGAGAGAGGGCGCTACCACAGGTCTTCACAGAGAGAGGGCGCTAGTAGAGGTCATCGTCAGCAGTCTTCACGTGTTATTTCTGCAGCCGCATCTCAGGATTCTTCCTGCCCCGACGACACTCTCCCACTCTTAATCTGTCCGAACATCGGCCATCCCAATAGCCTTCCTTCCTATTGCGACTCTCTCTCCATATTCTCTCCTCATTTTGCCACAGTTTCTCCGCATTACAGTCTCTCCTTTCCTCAATGTATTCATTCCGAACCGTCGGCTGCTAGTCCCGAGTTTTTCACTGTTTTGCTCCAGTCATCAACCGTCCATCCCCAGCATTTGCACGTGGAGCCTACGGCATGACCAAGTCAGTGAGGAAAACACTTGCATCCGAAGTCAGATTATTCCGAGAGGTGTCACATCTCACGAGCAACACAAGTAGGTAGCAATCCAGACGATTTGAGGAACAAGTCAGGTAACAGAGTGTTGCAACGTGTACACCGTCAGAAGGGGGCCTAAGTATCATGCCACTAGGGGAAGCAACTACCGAACCTATCTAGATCGTATCACCAGGGGGAGCTGCTACATCTTCAGAGCACATCACCAGGAGCAGCCACTGCAGAACCTTTATTAAGCATGCCAACAGGGGGAGCCAGTACATAACCTTTTAAGTAGATACCACTACACCTTTCCTGACGACACCACCAGGAGGAGCCACTACATCTTTCCTGATGACACCACGAGGAGGAGCCACTAGAGCTTTCCTGACAACACCATTAGGAGGAGCCACTACAGAACCTTTACAGGACACACCACCAGGCGACAATGCAGATTCATTATTAATCGTCAGAGGGAGCCAGTATAGAGCCATTGCAGCAGACACCACAAGAGGGAGCCACAACAGTACGTTTCCATAAGGCAGGACCAGGATGAGTTGCTATTTTCCCGCTAAAGAGCACACAACCAAAAAGCCACTGAGTCTCAACGTGAGAAGAAAGAATATGCAGGGAGGTTTGCTGGGGGGAAATCGTCCAGCGTTCAACATCTCGGTGGCAAATTTTGGGAGTTTTGTTCGTATAGGTTTTCACACGTTTGACTGACACTAAGCATAGATACTCTTTGGTTCAGTCGCAACTCATAGGTTCATTGTTTGTTTCCACGCTGAGGTTTAATGTCTCTTGGTTTCCCCGTACCTGGGGTCATTGTCATGACAACAGTGCAGCCAATCCCACACTGCTCGCTAGGTCCTGCCCGTGTCGTCTGCATCAACACCGGACACCACTGGACACGACCGGACATGGATACAATTGCTGGACGTTAGTGGACCCGTCATCTGGCCACGCCGCTGCCGCTTCGTAATCCCACGGTCCTCTTTTTTTCAGAGATTTCAAGAATTTTTTCACATGTCTGTATTTTGTATTGCTTTTGTGGAGAGCCTTCGCGATTGCGTCACGTACGCTGGCAGCTTCTCACAAATTTCTCACGTTTGCGTGCCGTGTAGCAAGCCATGTGGCATGCAGCTTTTGATGGAATTCTAAAAGATTATGATGTAGATTGAAACTGCTTATTGTCTTCCTACAAAGTTCCTCATACAGTATATGAGTCATCACAGTCTACGCTGCCAGCATGCGGCGTGCAGTAAATAGTGGAAATAGGTCGTTGGGTGTTATTTTCAGTTTTACATTTGACTGCTATTTCTGGTATTGAAGTACATGTATGTGCTCGTGACAAGGCATGACATTTATCCCAGTACCTTTCCCTATAACAAACCATTTATCAAAGTCATTATGAAGCAGGAACTTTGATGTAGAAGGACAGGGTTATATTTCTTGCCTTGCCATGTACACACGGGTATTATTCCGATAAGTGGTGCCAGTTTCAGTGAAGGCTCTTTTCATCTGTAGACTGCTAAATAATAGAAGTGTCAAGGATCCTTGGTCCTGCAGTTATGCCTCAATTAATCCAAGTTCTCCTTTGACACCCACGTAATGTCTAACCGAAATGTCAGTGTATATTGTGAGGTGGTATCAGTGTCTTCCCTGCTCAGCCTTGTCATTTATTTTATGTAATATATTGCATTTACTTGCAGGCATCTGATATTATCAGCAGAATACAATATATGCGAGTGTATCATAATCTTTTGATAAATGTTGCAGTTAGCTGCGTGTTGAATGGAGAAATTAAAACGAAAATTCTTCATAAAATCTCGGGGAATGCCAACTGAAAAACTGATCTAACCATCTGCTTTTCCTCTCTAGATATTTATAATATGAAACACAAAAACTAGCTACGAGTCTCTATAATTTTCTTGTATGAAAATCTATAAGTTCAAACAGGTCTCCAATTCTCCTAACCTCTGTAAAGCAGACTGAATTTATCGCCAGTTTTGAGGATGGCATTCGCTGAATCTAGGGATGGTATCGTGGCTCTTTAAGCTGTTATGGTGGTAGCAATGTCATTTTCCGACTAACTTATTATCAAGGTTTGAGTGCTTCTATTATGAGGTAGACTTACGCATATACAACTCATGGTGGTCGGTAAACATAGGATACTCTCTCTTGATACAGTTATTGGTTGCTTATGTTCTGTTCAGGAATCCAGGGATTTTCGATCTCTTGTAGTTAATAGTCTGATTAATTATTGTTAGTTAAAATTCCCTGATTTCTTCAGCTGAGCTTGTGTAATTAGTTGGCAGGCCATCACACCTAGAGTGGCGTATTTATTTATCAGTTTATCACCGATTCCATTGCTGGTTTGTTTAATCAATTACCTTCTATCACCGAAGATTCCACAAGAGCGATCGTTTCTTGAGTCGTGTTTTGAAAGTCCCCCATTTAAATGTTTATACTTGTAGCCCCCGTACCGATGGCATAACACGGTGCATCCTGCTTGTTTTGGTACACACTCGTAAGGTGCCAGTTATCTGGCTGTGCATTCGCGTATCAGCTGTGTTGTGTGTATCTGCCGTACATCAAGATAGCAGATACCAGCATCCTCGGAATAGCTTCAATCGCTGCCGCATCTATCCTCGTGTTTTCAGCGCGGGATAGACAGTGCTATCACCACCCAACCAGCATCACGGAATGAAGCTGAGTGCATGTCTACTGCTAGCCTGCCTACTGTGTGGCATGCAGCATATTACTATTAGCACTACTGTTCTTACTCGGTCACCGAGTGGAACTTCTGTATACCTTAGCAGTAATGTAAGTTCAAATGTAAGTACAGTTTCCTTGAGTATCTGCAACGACACGAGCTGTGTACACGCAATGGTGTTAGAGATGCATCTAGTAGATTAACATATACTGAGATGCATGGATCATTACATCCGAGAGGTCAGTGTATTATTGTACAAATAACAAGGTTCATCTAACCCAACCCCAGTGGTTTTTGGTGCCCCTAAAGTATGTTGGTGTTCAACGTGATTTTAGAGGACTAGAATGAATAGTACCCTGTTGTAGTTTAATTATACTTAGATAAATGTGTGTTTAAAGTAATTATTAGCAATCAATATGTGTGTATATATAATTATAGACTAAATGTGTTGATACCAAAAGAAATGGGGAGTGATTTTGTATAGATAAATCAACCCATATTGGATATACATAATTTTCTATTAAAATAAAGAAAAAATGTACATAATTTTGGTTTATTTGTTATAATATATATTGTAATGGACTAATTTATGAAACATGTTATTTATTCTTAATAGAAAGAAACTATACACTATATACAAACTTCAATTCATAGAAACCTCATATAAATCTTTGCGTATTGAGATTATTGTACTGCTAGTGAACTCGATTGTCGATTGTCGACGGCATCACTGTCCCCATCACAGATGCAGGCTTGGATTGACATGTCTTCTCTGTGCAGGGTTGTCATACTGCTCGCTACGGTGGATGCATACGGGTACGACACATGCACCATCACCGCGACCCAGTTTCTGTCTTCTGCTTGTTCGCTTTGAGAAACGGTTCATGGAACATGTCGTACAACCGTTGGGCCTGAAAGAACAAACGTTTGAAGATGTGATAAATGCCGTTCTTTTTTTCGATCTCTCCCATCGATGAGTGAATTCGACCAACAAATAACAAAAGCCAGCTTTGCCAACCATAGAATTGATAAAACTAAAGCATATTCACCTTCTGTGGACCAACGCCTGGACACAGTGAAAGATCATCTTTGCTGGTTTTTACTATTTTCTCCAGCGACTGAAAATAAGACAAAACTGTACTGTCAAAAATTATGGATCTGTTAATGATGCAGGTCTATAAAGGTTATGCGTTCTGTGTTGGACTAAATGTAATGCGTCCATCAACAACACAGGTATGGAAACATAATATATCCTGCATGCATGTAAGCATAAATTGCTGCGTGGTATATCTATTACATGGCATATATGGCTTGAGCACATTATGCTGCAGCTCTCTTACCCCAAATGTTGACAGCAGAGTCTGAGCATCTGTCTTCGATACTTTCTTTATCGAGGTAAGGCAGTCAGTAAGCTGTAACAGACAGTTATGCTTATATTACACTGTAGTATTTACACCTGTGCAAGGCGAAATTGGAGAGGTGTAATGTGGAAGGTCCACTCCCAGTGTCTCAGAAACTACAAGATATGCCATTCCCTGGCTCCCAGTAGATTAAAATCGTAATTTTGGAACTGCATCCCGGATGATTTCTATTCCTGAATCACGGAAGATTTACCTGAAATTTCGTAGTCCCCAGATAATGAAAATGTTTCGTTTTATCCCACATCCTAAAAAATAAAATGTCCTGCCCCTCCCCATTAGAGGAAGAAATGGTATTTGCAATGACATTCTTTTACATGCATTTACGAATTGATGTGCAGATTTTTCAGTTCAGTGGGGTGATTCTAATATCTTCATAGTATAACTTTATTGTATTCAGACTGGCACTTGCATAGCAGACACTAGTTGTTACCTGAGCCATGTAATTGTTATCTGTTCGCTCCATGATCATATCTGGTGGTTTACTCTCAAACGCTTTGTAAGTCTCCAAATATCTTCCCGCCTCTTCGGGACTTGAAACAAGAAGTTGACAACAGAAATCATATGATCTGTTTAAACCACAAAGCATGTTGCAATGTGTAACATGTGATTCTGTAATGCTGAATGATGCTATACCTATACCTAAAGCTGCTTGCGTAGGAACAGACTGCTGCAGATGCTCGACCCTAGCGAATAGCCTTAAAGGGATACTTTCCCCTTAGAATTTGAGAGTATATTATGATAGTAGATTTATAAATAATAGCATATACCTACAAATTTCTATAATTGCGCATTTACGTCTGTTACAAAACAACATTGAATTTCGAAATTTTTTGGTGCTGACATGACACCCGCGATCGTGCTGCCACCCTGGAAAAGTTACGCATTTGCCAATTCATTTTCCACGTTACAGACCGATGGCTAATCACAAAAGTGCAATTATGTTAATACCTAAATGCTATTTAACTGAACGATATACAACTTAATAGTTGCACAGAGCATAGACTAATACTGGCATCAATGCTTTTTAAGCGTTGATGACTGTCAGTGTGAAACAGACGATCTTCCCAAATTGGCAGCTACACAACATCACATTAGCTGTTGATGTGTAGGGCTGCAGGTGGTGATTTTATACAGCTGCTTGTAAATAAGAATTCAGACAGAGATGGACTACCTCCAGGCGAGCATGAGTGTGCAGTCCACTAAAATCGCAATCTTTGCTAGTTCTTTAACATAGTGGTGTGGATCCTTCTGTAAGAAGAGAGCCACACATGATTGATTTATGGTGTGAGCTTTTAATAAGAATAATAATTTTAATATTGACACAGAAATAAAAAGTAAAGCATCTAGCCAGACCTAGATTTTTCAGGAAGTGTCGTTAAGGATTATTTAGCAATTGATTGTGTGATTTTCTCTGACACAGTATTAGATAACTCACGATGTCAACTTGCAAGAGTAGGATGCGTAGTTCATACTGCCTGCCAAGCTCCTTCAAACGTACATGTATGTAGTCTGGATGCAGCTGGTGATACCTCAAGCTGCACCGTGCCATGCCAAACATTTCATTATTGAGACATATCATGACAAGAACCTCTATTCATTTAGTATTATTCCAATGCAGATGGCAACTACATTTTACTGAGAATGAAAGTGTATTGCTAGGCGTCAACTTTGTGAGTGTTTCTGTGTTCTGTCCTTCCTTTTTTACAATTTGGTGGCACTGTAAAATTCACATTGTCACAAAACATTAATTAACATTTAGAACTGATATATTACCTGAGAAACAATACGCAGGTAGTTCGTCCCATCACATAGTCAGGAATGATATCAGCAAACTCCCATGGAACATTTCTAATGCACTTCAACACAGGATTCCCAGTCTGAAGACAGTAAAAAACTTGTCAATTTTGGAAAGCCTATTGAGTATTGATAGATTGATGTGAAAATACATGTTTGATTCCACATGTGCGTGTGAATATATTGTCATAGTTTATCATTAAAAAAATAAAGTTAAATCCCTTCCCGTGCCTATGTGCCATGTGGCGCCTAGGGCGGTGCCTATCTCCGAGGCCATGCAGCTGCTTTCACAGTAAATACTACCACGAGGGGGTTAGTCCACTGGTAGCACTGCGAGTTAACTTTCCACACTCTATCTCTATTTGCTGAGTGTTAAGCAGAGAAGCAATGTAAATAGTTTATCGTACTAGTACTAGTTATATTAATAATAATAGTTGTTTGGTACCTGTCTTGGATTGACAAGAACTGAACTGCCTTTGCTCGGCTGAACCTTCCTTACTTCTGGTTCTCCAGACCTAAAACAAACACAAATACGTAACAATGACAATGTTATCATCATAATGTAACTACTATACTAACTGCAGATGGTGCTGTTCAGTGTTGACGTTGTGTAGGCCTACGCTACAGTGCCAATGGGCAAACTTTCAGTGATAATACGAATTTACGTGTATGATACTGTACCTGGATTCCATTTTCGGTTCCTGTGCAGCCTGCATATTATATTTTGTCATATACCTATAATAGCATAAAGGTAATTATAGTTATACCTGGCCAGGTGATTACTGACACAATGATTGACATTGTGATCACTGACAGTCACCGAGTGAATCTGTGATTGGTTGCCCAAGTCACACTTTTTTACACTGTTAGTAACGCTGAGAGGGTCATGTCACCCAGGGTACTGCAGGAAGGTACCCTGGTACTAAATACTACTATCGGCTCAGGGATAGAGAAGATGTCCAGTCCTATCTTATCAACTAACATCATCCTATCCAATCACCGTACTGGACATCATATTTATCCTTGAACCCTACAATCTAATATGCCGGACCGTACCTCGCCTACTCCATTAACGATCGAGTCTAGGGAGTCGCCTAGCGGCCTACGCCTACTCCCTAACACTAACCCTAACCCTAACCCTAACCATATCAGCTAGATAGTTACCAGGGTACGTTCCGGTATACCTGACCGTACCCAGGGTACGTTCCGGCAGTACCCTGGGGGACACAGACCCTGAGCGTTAGTAACACGGTGTGTTATAGCTCTAGTACTATAGCCCGCTTAAGCCTCAGTCACACTGGGGCCGGACTGGCCACGGATTACCGCGGATGGGGCAGGATCTCCCCGGACCGTAAAATTTATAATCCGTGGCGATCCGGGTGAAAAATTACGAGATGGTCGAAAAAAAGCATCGAGCCGGATTGGGCCGGACCAGCACGGCAGCGCCACGGACCATCCTGGATTGAGCCCGGATGAAGCCGGCCCCAGCACGGAGTCACTACGGACCGCCCCGGACTGCCTCGGACCGCCACGGACCTGATCCGGCCTGGTCCGGCCCCGTCCTGGCCCATTCGTGCTCATCAGTGTTCCCATCCGTGTTGGGTCCGACTTGATCCGTAGTGATCCGTGGCCGCCAAAAACGACACGGATGGCCACGGATGGGCCCGGTTCAACACGGTGCCACTACGGACTGTCCCGGACCTACCACGGACGCGCCACGGATCGTCCAAGACTACCACGGACGCGCCACGGACCGTCCAGGACCAACCCGGATGGGGAAAACTTCCCGGACCGTCCCGAATCACCCCGGAAATTTTAAACAGTTTAAAACTTCCGGGGCGATATCCCGGAATACGCAGGACCATCAAGGACCACCCCGGACCGGGCCGGACCGTCCAGGACCCAACAAGGATCTCTCCCCGAATCAGTCTCGCCCACGTCGGAGCTCTGGAGTGACGTTCAGCCTTGACATTAAGTTTAACGGCCAGCGGCAGTTAATGTAAGCGGGCTATACTCTATAGTACTAGAGCTAGGTGTGTTAGTGTACAGTATAGCCCGACCAGGCTGTGCGACGGATTGTCTATACACATAATACAGATTGTCTATGTATTGTAACCCTAGCAATACCGTTTCTTGGAAGTTGGAGCTATGTACAGTACTGAGTACACGCACAGGTACACGCAAGCAATGTGAACAAAAATGTCAAAACATGTGATAGCGATATTCCGAATAAATTTGTTTTAAACTAAGCAACTAAGTCACACGCGACCATTTTATTCTCTAGTTGTAATTTTATATGTTCACATTATGCGATTCCTCGGGAATAAACAAACAACTAGGCAACAAACACTAACAATTTCCCACGGCGCCGATATTTCATTGGCGAGTGGCGCCCTCTATGTCACTGCATTAACAAGTAAACGTTATGCTTGTATTTACTTATTCTGAATTTGGACATTTTTGGTGTTTGTCCAAATATTTGTGTATAGTTGAGTTATACGTTATCTAGGGAAGTATGGAAGCTGCTGACGTATACTACAAGAAACCAGAATACATAGAAACGGTAAGTGGCAGTATGCTAGAAGTGAAATGTATAAAACGTCTACACTAGGGCTAGCCACAAGTTCCCATCTCGCTTAACACTACGTGGCGAGAGGACTAGTCGTGTAACTAGTCGGAGAGCCTGGTCGGTTTACACTAGGGCTAGCTCTAGTACTATAGCCCGCGGATTGCTGCCGCAGGAATCCTGCGGCAGCAATCCGCGGGCTATAGTACTAGAGCTACACTAGGGCCTACTGTGACTACAGACGGACAGACGCACCACATCAGTGACTCAGTCGGTCACAGTGTGTCAGTGTATAACTCATTTACTGATCGAAATGAAGCCCGACATAACGTGATCGGTGATGCAGAAACGACGCGGTCGCATGCTTCACCTGACTTTGTGTGTATTATAGTTGACTTATGCACCTTAGAGGTCGTTCACAATTATATAAAGGTGTACGAAGAAAAATGTTTGTTTTTTTTCACTATCCGGTATTCTACGTAACATAGTCATAGAGATACATGTATATGAATTACATGCAAAACCGCCATCGTGCCGGTTGTTTACACTGCACTCGGCTGCTAGCTAGCTCGGTTCGCTCGTTCAGCAGGCCCGTTCAAGGCACGGGCCGGCCGGTGTTCGGCGCATCGCGGCGTGAAAATGCGCGCGATGCTGGCTGGCGCACGCGGCGCGGGAAATGGATCGACATTTTTCGGAAATGCTGAAAGCGTACGGCGGGCATTAACCCCTCCCCCCCCCCAGCGTACGGTTTGTACGCTTGTGAAAATGTTGATTGTGAACGACCCCTTAATATTTTAGTAAAGTTGACGTACATTTAATGATCTGTTTCGTTATTTCAGGCATCAGGCAATAAGGTCAGCCGACAGTCCGTGTTATGTGGAAGTCAAAACATCGTCATAAATGGAAAGGTGACTTTTTTGACAAATGGCACCAGTATTACTTCTTTGATTGTGAATACCTTGCCAATGAATATAAATTGCAAATGTGGACATGTAACTCGTTGATGTCGTGAGTTTTTGAGCCTATTTATTTATTTATGAATCAGTTTTACATTGATCATGTTTACATCAATTTAACCCAGTGAATTGTATGTTTACTGTGTGTTGATGACAAGATGGGTTTTAGTGAAGAAAGGCATTCAAATGGCATTAGTTGGCATGATGCCTAATGTTATAGACTACGTCCATCTTACATGTGCGCAGCAGGCGATTCAAGGATCTTTCATCTATGTTGCAGTCGATAGTCATGTCGGAGTGCATCATTCGTGGAGACCTCGCCAATGTACGAATAGGCAGACAGTGCATCATCGGAACGCGCTCCGTCATACGACCCCCCTTCAAGAAGTTCAGCAAGGGGTAATTTATATTCTTGAGGAGTTTATAGGTTGTAGGCGAGCCTGGTAAGCAGAGATTGGTACGCTAGCCCCCCGCATTCATGCACTGTGGTAGGCATGACATTTTCATGGTGTCCCCAGAAATGCGTGCATCACGCCTGAGACTGTTCCACGTGGTGTGTGAGCCTACAACTTCTCCTGTTTATATAGGCAAGAGTATTCTCTCGTTTATGTGTGCAACTATCCTGTCATGAGAAAGATACGATCAGGTAAAAACGTTTAAAAATGTATAACTTCCACATATCTCACCACATACTCTAAAGGAGGAGACTCAAAAATATTTGTTAATTCTCCTCTCTTGCACTTTGTCTAATATTTTTCCCCACTTATTTTTTTCTTGTTTGCATTTTCCAGGGTAGCATTCTTTCCTTTGCATATAGGAGACAATGTGTTTATTGAGGAGAATTGTGTCATCAATGCTGCACAGATAGGATCTTACGTACACATAGGCAAAAACTGCATAATTGTAAGTTTTAGCTATAACATGTTATAGTATAAAACATTGATGAAGTGCTATTCCTTATTGCATGGTAATTTCTGTAATACTGTATATGTGGAAGTACAGTGCTATTTACTACAGCATGTCATTTTAGTGTGCTGTGTTCACATATATCTAACAATGTTATTAATGATCCTGCAAATAATTTCAGTTGTGGCATACCCCCACATCTAACACTTCTATCAATGTTAGCCACTAGTTTTAGTAAGATCTGCACTAGCTGCCACCTTGTTACTTATATTGACATCCGATTGGGAGTAGCGCAGATTACTCATTATTGTATATGTGCTGTAGAATAGTCGAGATGAACATGAGTTAACTGATTGCGGTTTTGATTGACAGGGGCGGAGGTGTGTGCTCAAGGACTGCTGTGCTATCGCCGATAACACGGTGCTGCCCCCAGAGACTGTGGTTCCTCCGTTCACACTGTTCTCGGGATCGCCCGGTGAGTTTATCGCAATCCATGTTCCATGGGGTTATTATATCATGTTCAGTGTGGATATTGAGCGAAATAAATTTTATTTATTTAATTACTCCTAGAAAATTATGGCCATAAAAATGTGTTAGGAAATACGGAAAATAGTCTGTGCACATGGGGTTAGATTTTTTGGGTTTATCTTTATTGCTGTTTCTGTGAATGTCTCTACATCTCTCTCTCTCTCCTTCTCTCTTTCTCTCTTTATCTCCCTCTTCTTCTCTTTCCCCCTCTTTCTTTCTCTCATCCTCGCTCTCGCACTCTCTCTCTTTCTCGTTCTCTCTCTCTCTCTCTATGTCTATCCCTAATTAACTCTATCCTTATCTTTACCTTTATCTCTACCTCTATCTCTACATCTATATATCTCTATATATTTTATCCCTTTTTTTACGTAGGTCACTACGTGGCAGACATGCCGGAATGCACGCAGGACCTGATGGTGGATGTCACCAAGAGTTTCTACCAACATTTTCTACCAATGACCAAATGATCATTCTCCTGCATAAACTATATATTTATTAATGTGTAAATATCACGCGGCTGTGAAGTGAGGAGCTGTGTTGGTGACCTGCGTTGGCTGAATGTCTCATCAGCATGTGCTTATAGCTATGTGACTCGTAAATAATTAGTGTGAATTGGTTGACACCAAGTGCTTTTAGTTGTTCAGACTTACCTTGAGTAATTTATTGTGAAAAATCATGCGCAGTGACTTTTCTTAGAGCCGCTAAGAGTATTTCTAAGACATTCGACATGTTTTTGGAAGTCTGACTGTATGCATGGTGGTAATAGTGACCACCAGGGCCTGGGCCTGAGCGTTGAGATAACTGCAAAATGTATCTGTAGAAGCTATCAGGACTGTCTGAAACCAAGGGTAGAACCAGCGTGTAGCGAGATGTAGTATTGCTGGTCACATGCAGGTCCCCTATTCCCCCTGTGTCCTTTACCAGCATCTGCTGGTCTGTCGAATGTCCGTTGACCCCTGTCATCTTTATCCATAAAAATCGTTGAAAAAAAATCAAGCTGTTTATAAAGACAGGCATGTGTCATTGCAACACGATTGTATTTTTATTTACTTTCGCGAGAGAGGGGGAGATCGTTCATTCCATAACTTGTAGGAGGAGGTAGCATGCCAGCATAGCTCTGCATCGTGTAACGGCTAGCTGTGTCTTATACTAACTTTATAATTTTATCGACGTATAGTATCAATAACTGATTACTAACGTGATTGACAAAAGCATGCGTATTTTCTCTAACCTGATAGAGGTGTGCAAACTGATTATAAACGCATGAAGAGACTATGCTAGAATTATGATCTATGACTATCGTATGCAGGTTAGTATCTTAGCTTGGGAGCATGATGATCAGTAATGTTGCGTGTTCATCAGGTACGCGGTTGTCATGACTACGGCAGTGAAGTAGTAATTCTTTTCAACGTCGGCAACAATTTTCGTTATTGCACTATACTAGTACTATGATACGCGTCGTCATAATTCGTCTCCACGTTATACGATTGCAATAAACATGCAGAAAGTGCCTTGCCTGTTATGTATAACTTTTTTTTTACATTGTGTGTTTCTGAAGGAAATGACAAATAATGTATATGTAATGTAACGTGAAAATCGTGTAGCATACAGGCGATCTGTGGTTTAAACAAATAGAGTACACCCCGTACACGCTAACACGCGTTCACACAATTGGGAACCAAAAATCTATTCTGACATAGAGAACGATCGATCGCTAGTGACAAAAATCGTGTCGCGTGAAAATTGAACCTGTTCATCCTTTGGAACGAATCGGGAAAAAAATTATGTGCCGACGTGGGTTTCTATGGCAACCGACGACAGACGAGCGATCGCATCGTGAAGGACTGAATAGTGACGTCATTACAGTGTTTGTTACACGATAAGGTATACAGTGGGAACACTGGAGCGATGCAGGCCATGGGTATAGGAGTATAGAGAGAGTATACATCGTTATTAATTGCGTTTACCTGCTAATATTTAAGTATGGATAGCAAAGATTGGTTCGCATTCCTGCACCAAGTCAAAAATACAAATTTGTAAATTTACTGTTTGATATATATATTAAAATGCTGATGCGTCATTCAATATGATAAAACATCGTTACAAATAACGAATTTATTGTAAATTATAATAAGGGTTAGAGTAAAGTAAATGAGTTTACGGGTATTTTATTATTACCACGCCGTGTATGTGGAGGGGATGCACGCGCACTTGCGTGTACGCGTGCGTGTGTGTGCCCCACATATAGCCATTTGTATTAAAGAGAGGCACCTGGATTTATTTTTTATGTCAATCTACTTCGATGAGTATTAACTCCTCATTTTAAATGTATAATTTTAACAAAACGTTACTTTATTTAGTAGAAATTAGGCAGGAGCGAATATCGGTCTCCCGCTATGCTACATGGGCGACGCCTTATGATTATTAAAATGATTGGTGGATATATATATATGTGCTTTCTGAACTACAAGTGTAATCTCAACAAAATAGCATTGTATATTCATAATATGATGATAAAGGCTGGGCATACAGCTGTACAACTGTCACACAGTAATTATATAGTGACACATCGAGAAATCTTTGGCAATTTCTACCGTCGTAGCAGGCGAAACCGCAACATATTGATTATTATATACATATAACATTTTTTATACACGATATGTATCTTGTTTGGCGCTCCTGTAACCCTTAACCTGGAGAGGAAAAACATGTGTCGTCGCGTGACCTAGTCCCCGACGTACAGGGTATGTCCTGCCACGCACTAAAAACCCTAATTAAATATTCGTGCTCTTGTGCTCGAATCCAGTAGCTACATGTATATAGACAACTCACCATAAAAATATCAAACCAGTAACGCTTGAATACATAATTATAAGGTGGTTTAGACCTCTATGTACATGCTGTGTTTATAATTAAATTTAATTATTAAAACTCAAGTCTTTGTATTCAAACCATGCAATAAGCACATGGTTATAAATAACTCTTCATAAAATTACTCGGCGCAGTAACTCATCTTTAGTGCTGCATTCTCGATGACAATTTATCATCCTTTAATCCGCAATCAGTTAGTAAGCCAACAATACGCAAAATTTGAAATATTAAACTGTTCATACACGACTGCTTTATTGTTTTCGCTTGTCTTACAAATTACAAAACACAATTATCCCTTCAGTCTAACCCTAACCCACATGATGTAATTTATTTCTTGAAAATTCCTCCTCCACCCTTAGAAATTTGCCCCGTCTGCAGCCCTGACTAAAGTACATGAGCAATGGCGCGCGGGTTGCTCGTTACCTTAGCCAGATAAGAAACGTTGCTCGTTGCTTTTAGCCAGATAAGAAACTGCGTTTCGGCCGATTTTACGCGTTTAAAAAAAACAGGAACATGCCCGAAGGAGATGTGCATGGTAAAATCCATGTCGGATATTTACGTCGGCTGCAGCATCCTGCCATTCTCTGCCGTTAGGCTAAAGTACATGAGCAACAGCGCGGATAACTCGTCGCCTTAGCCACCTATGGCAATGCTTTTCGGTCGATCTTATGCGCTTAAAAATGACAGGAGCATGATTGAAGAAGATGTGCATGGTAAAATCCGATCTTAGAATGTTACCTCGACCGCAGAAACGCGCATTTCCCTGCCGCTACACCTGCGCTGCCTCATTTATTTTAATAGCAAAATAAAAAATAACCTTAGATAATAATTGTAAGTAACCACCCCAAAAAATGCAAATTGCAAAAACAATTGCAAATTACAAAAACACAATTATCCCTTCAGCCTAACCCTATCATATATTTGATTCATTCGTTGACAATTTGGCTATTTAGGAATTTGCTCAGCTTATGGCCCTGTAGATGGGGCATAGACGTAACGCTCCTTACCGCCTGGATCTGTCTGGGAACATCACCGCGTGTCTGAAATACGTTCATCAGTAATTAAAATTAAACGTAAAATTATTTGCTATTCTCTAGCGCGCGTGCGCAGATCACACGATTTGACGGCCACCGGCGCTACAATGTCATGCGACACGCGGGATATTATCCGGTGTGTCGTCGTCCTTAGTTCTCGCCGTAGGCTTTACGCAATCGCGGCGATAGACATAGATGACGTGCGTGCAATCTATGATAGGCAACGATGGAGCACATCAGGATAGCAAAGGTAGGTGTTTACGTTTACGTGTTTGTCACGCGGGAGGCGCGCTACGGTGAGAGATCATGTCGGTACGTGGGCTGCATGCATAGCGGGCGCGATGAAGACATGCGGGTTAACATCTCCAATGACACATCGTTGTAGCCGTGTAGTGTGAAGCCTACCCCGCGCCTCTCTCTCTTCGACGCTTAAAAACATAAAGTTTAAAGCAAACAACTACGCTTGCACGGGTCGGTGCGAGAGATCTGACATGTTGCGAGATAGGACAGTAATATTTATCACCTGGATTACATAAATTAACAATTGCGAAAACTAGATGTCATGTGAAATTGCCGCCCTACAGCGAGTTGCAGTGTATCGTATTTGCTATGCAGCGGATCGATATATATACGGCACATGTGCGGGTATCTATTTATGTGGATTTTATTTTGCGTCCTTTTCATGGACGTACCTATACGAGCTACAAATATACAATAAAAGCAGTGACGTGATCATGTTGAATAAAAACATACAAAATACATTTAATATGAGCGAAATTGCGTGTGTGTAAAAATCATTGGGGTCGCCGCGTAGTACTAAGTGCTAAGCCACGTAGCCGCATGAAAGCTTTCGTATGAAATATATTACAATGATAGTCACCACCAGATGGCAGCGCATGGTCATAACACACACAGATATCCTGCAATAATGAATAACAGATTCTCTCGATTTCATCTAAGTTTAATTCAGAAGGCGAATTTCATAGACGAGTATGAAGAATAGATTAAATAAACCACTGAAATATATAGAATTTTTTTATCTTAGTTTTTAACGATTTAAAAGATCAGCAATTGCAAAAGGGAATGTGCCAATTTTAACCCTCCCCTATGCAAAGTTCGTGCGTACACTGACTTCAACAGACCCACGCGCTATATCATTGATTGAATACTGCAATAAAGCTATGTAATAAAACTGAGTGCGCTGCGTTCCGGCGCAGGTTATTTTGATATAAGTACATGCGCCATGCAATTATTCGTTTATTGTGCGGTTATATTCCTGATATATGGTGGCGTTCAACGCCGGCTTGATGTGAAGTGCGCGCGCGTGTGCCTGCATCTCTCTCGCTCTTCTCTCTCTCTCTCTCTCTCTCTCTCTCTCTCTTCCTCTGCTCTTTTCTTTTCTCATTCTCATTCGTCTACCCGCAGTCGCACCCGTGCTGCTCCTCCTCCATTGAACTCCGCTTCACCGGTCTTGTCTCTCTCTCTTTGCTCTCTCTCCTCTCTCTCACTTCATCTCTCTTCTCTCTCTCTCTCTCTTCTGCATCTCCTCTCTTCTCCTGCATGCTGTGTTGTGTGTGTGTGTGTGGTGTGTTTGATTTGTGTGTGTGTGTGTGTGTGTTGTGTTGTGTGTGTGTGTGTGTGTGTGTTGTGTGTGTGTGGTGGAGCGTGCATGCGTATACGTGCGTGTGTGTGCGCGCGCGCGTGCGTGCGTGCGTGCGTGCGTGAGGGCGTGCGGGCGGCCGCGTGTGCGTCTCTGGTGCGTGCGTGCATGCGTACTAGTCCGTTTCTAGGCATTTACTAGATTTCATGTCGCCATTGTTCGTGTACACTCGATACGCTATTGTTTGGTTAAGCGAGCAGTAGCTGGTTGTTATAAATATTGATCACACGTACTGTATAGTAACGGTGTGTCCGCGGCTCTTTCTGGTTGTTTAGGTGTGTGAAGGCAGCTGAAGTATTCTTCAATATTCTAGAACTACGGATATTGGAATTACAATATTATCATAACAAATGGTTTCCAATATCTGCAGTGGATATGGATTTTCCGCAGTATATCCATAACCCTAACCCTTTGTCCAACCTCATAATTAAAACAATATCGAGTGAATAAGAATTTAGCAACAATTTTTTGAAAGCAACGATTTTATAATCGACCTTAACTTAATTTGACAGCGGAATATTGATTCTAAGATAAATCGCATCATTTTTGGAAGTATCTATAGTCGACAGATAACGCGTAACATCGATACACTGACAATTTCTCGGTCGTGAACATAATTCTATCCAGTATTTCGCTAATTAGAGTAATGCGATTGCTCGTAACCTTAATCCGTTCGAGAAGCTTGGTTCGGTCGCGCTGTTTGTGGATGGCGTCTGCAATCATTAGCACGAATAACGGAGCGTCGCCCGTCAAGTGGGGGATGTTTCGTATGTACGGACGTTCGGAACTCGAGGTGGGAAGTGGTCAGTCCTCGTATCTAGTAAAGCTGCTTTCATCGCGGCTGTAGCGAGAGAAATCGTCACAACTCGCTCTGCTGAGCAACAGCGGACTTCATTCGGCGCTCATTGATCTTCAAACAAAGGTATCCGCGCAAAGCCTCGCTGATTGTTTGCCGCTGCCATTTGAACATCCAATTAAACCGACTCCGTGAGAGAGTCGCGCTGAGCGTGTAATGAGGGGGTGGATGAATGAGGAGGCTGGGGTGGTGGGGAGGCTGGGGTGGTGAGTAGGCTGGGGTGGTGAGTAGGCTGGGGTGGTGAGGAGGCTGGGGTGGTGAGGAGGCTGGGGTGGTGAGGAGGCTGGGGTGGTGAGGAGGTTGGCCGGTGCGTGAGAGTAGGCTGGGGTGGTGAGGGAGGCTGGGGTGGTGAGGGAGGGGCTTAAAAAGGGTGGGTGAGGAGCGTGGGGTGGTGAGTGAGGTCTGGGGGTGTGTGTGAGTGGCTGCGGCTGCGGTGGTGAGGAGGCTGGGGTGGTGAGGATAGGTGGTGTGGTGATGAGTGATGGTGCCTGTGGTGACGCAGGCTGGGGTGGTGAGGCAGGCTGAGCCGGGGTGAGGGGCTGGGGTGGTGACGAGGCTGGTGTGGTGAGGAGGCTGGTGTGGTGATGAGGTTGGTGTAGTGACGAGGCTGGGGTGGTTTGAGGGAGTGCTGGGGCTGGTGAGGGAGTGCTGGGGTGGTGAGTGAGGCCTGGGGTGCGTGAGTAGGCTGGTGTTGCTGATGAGTTTTGGTGTGGCTGACTGAGCTGGGTGGTGAGGAGGCTGGGGTGGTGAGGAGGCTGGGGGTTGGTGACGAGGGCTCGGTGGGTCGGTGAGGAGGGCTGGATGGAATGAGGAGGCTGGGTGCGTGAGGAGGTGGTCGTAGTGGTGAGGAGGTGGTGTGGTTGAGGAGGTTGCGGGTGGTGGGGAGGCTGGGGTGGTGAGTAGGCTGGGTAGCTGAGGAGGCTGGTTGGTGAGAGAGGCTGGCCGGTTGGTGAGGAGGTTGGGGTGGTGAGGAGGCCTAGGGTGGTGAGTTGGTGGGGTGGAGAGGGAGGCTGGGGTGGTGATAGGCTGGGGTGTCGTGAGCGAGGCTGTGGGGGTGGTGAGGAGGCTGGGAGTGGTGAGGAGGCTGGGGTGGTGAGTAGGCTGGGGTCGAGTGAGGAGGCTGGGTTGGGTGAGGAGGGCGGGGTGGTGAGTTAGGTGGGGTGGTTGAGTAGCTGGGGTGGTGAGGAGGCTGGGGTGTGAGGAGCTGGGAGCGGTAAGGAGGCTGGGGTGGTAAGGAGACTGGAGGGAAGAAAAGGTTGAGAAGTAAATGGCTAGGGATTAGGAGGCTGGAAAGGATTGATGAGGTTTGTGAATGCAATGCTAGTTAAGCCGTTGAGAAGTAAATGGCTAGGGATTAGGGGGCTGGAAGGATGAGGAGGTTGGGAAGCAGGGACCTAGGGATTAGGAGGTTGGGAAACAAAGGACTAGCGATTAGGGGGCTGGAAGGATGAGGAGGTTGGGAAGCAGGGACCTAGGGATTAGGAGGTTGGGAAATAAAGGACTAGCGATGAGGAGGCTGGAAGGATGAGGAGGTTGGAAAGCAAGGACCCAGGGATTAGGAGGTTGGAAAACAAAGGACTAGCGATTAGGGGGCTGGAAGGATGAGGAGGTTGGGAAGCAGGGGACCTAGGGATGTAGAGGCTGGGAGGCGGAGGACTAGGGAGGAGGCTAGAGAGATGAAAAGCCTAGGGATAAAACAGTTGGGGAAGAGGAGGCTGGAAGGATGAGGAGGTTGGGAAGCAGGGGACCTAGGGATGTAGAGGCTGGGAGACGGAGGACTAGGGAGGAGGCTAGAGAGATGAAAAGCCTAGGGATAAAACAGTTGGGGGAGGAGGAGGCTGGACGGATGAGGGTGCTGTTGGAGTAGAAGGCTGGGAGAGGAGGAGGTTAAAGAAATTAGAAGATTTGGAAGAGATGAGGCACACGAGAAACGTCTGCTAGCATTACACAGTGCTGAGACCGTAGCTACTATGTATGCTCGACCTTGCAGATAAAGTTATTGTAAGAGCCAGTACGACGTTGTGACTCGGCATTACACGGCCATGCTATTGCCGCAGATATACCGTACCATGCGAGACTCCAACATGTGCTATAAGTGGTGAATAGGTCCCGACATAAGAAAACTCGTACGTGTATGCGACCTATACTATTTGACAGCTTTTAGACATACAAGCGCTCCCTATGAGTGGAATAGTGTCGTGGCAGGTGTGATCCTACTCGGCATTAAATTCCGACTATAGAAATTCTGTTTAAGATCGCTGGAGAAAGAGCAGCTGATTTCTGCCTCAACGATCGCTCTGTGTCGTGTACAGATGTTCAGAAAAAACAGCATTGAAAATTGTTGGATCTATACGATTTGTCATTTCCCAGTGAATTTCAATCTTTGACGTTCGGGAGAGGGGTAGGTCGATGTATAGAAAGATTGAACGAAGCAGAGATAAAAAGAGAGACAGAGAAGGGCGTAGGGAGGCAAAAAGAGAGGAGGGTATGGGCAGATAAGAGTGAGGGAATCAGACGGCAATATAGGCATAGGGAGACAACCCACACTATATATCTCCAAATATCGCCCATCCTCTTCCCTGTTTGCTCTCTACTCCTTACATTCATCCCTCCTCCCACACTCTCGCCACCAGTCTCTAATTTCATCCCTTTCCCTTCCCCTGTCTCCCTCCTGCCACTCACTACCTCCCGCCTACCTCTCCTTCCCCTCCCATCCTCCCCGTCCTCCGGTGATTGTTGGTACGATCCCGTGGGGAGGCAGCGGAGTCATTTGCTGCGCCAGTAGCTGCTGGATGCAGCGTGCGTGCAGACCACACCGTAACTCTCAGCTTCACTGAATCCTTAAGTGCTCCCAGCATCCTTACTAAAATCCAGGTATCCCAGTATCCGTATAGCATCCCAGTACTCATCCGAGCACCGCAGCATCATCATCCGCCTATCAGCATTCTTATTAGCTTTCCGCATCATTAATTGTTTCCAGCATCCTATGCAGTAACATAGTATTTTTATCGGTATCCCAGCATCCCAGTATCCTCACCAGTGCATTCCCGCATACTAAACTGCGTCTCTCACCACAGAATCCTTATAGAACCTAGCAATAGTACCAGCATCCCAGCATTAGAACCAACATGCTAGCATCAGCACCAGCATCACAGCATTAGTAGGAGAATTCTCGAATTAGTAACAGCATTCCAGCATTAGTGCCCGCATCCCAGCATCAATCAAACATCAGTACCAGCGTCTCAGCATCAGTGCCAGCATCTTGTAGACGGGTAAGGCTGAGATCAGAGAATTCTTATCCGGCGCGGATTTACGCGCTAGACTAACAAGCGAGTCGCCTCGACGAGAGAAAGAGAGAGACAGACAGACGCATATGCTTGCGCAGTGATCAGTCGTGACTCACAGAAACAGGCTGGATTCGCATCCACCTCAGAGATCCGGGAAGCTGCGGCGAGCACCGTCAGAGATTTAAGAAACTGCAGCAAGCAGCGTCAGAGATTAAGCAGGCTGCAGCAAGCAGCAATAACCAGAGTGCCTGCATTGAGCATCAGCGGATAGTAGAGAAAGATTCGTCGTGCTACCTTTGCTTTTACTGACTGACTGACTGACTGACTGACTGATTGACTGAGTGACTAACTAACTGACTGACTGATTGACTGACTGACTGACTAACTGACTGACTGACTGACTAACTGGCTGACTGACGGACGGACTGGCTGACTGACGGACGGACCGACTGACTGACTGACTGACTGACTGACTGACTGACTGACCGACTGAGCGATTAACTGAGTCAGTGGAGAAGCTTGAATCGAAGAGACAATCTAACCGCTCTAGTTCACACCGGTAGAAGGAGGAGCGTCGGACACTAGCAGGACTTGTACGAAGATACTTCACAAGCTACGATTTACACTCTCTCATTCTCTCTCTCTCCCTCTCTTTTTCTTTCTCTCTCCTTCTCTCTTCCCCCTCTCTCTGACTCTCAGCTTCGGGAGATATCTGTCTCACGGAAGAAATGGTATGACTGTGTCGCGCGCCATGCTTCACATTTCGATGTGAATACAAGTGCATTAGCAAAACGCTCCTGCGATCAGCTGATGCTAGAGGAAGACGAGGAGATGATGAGGCGCGGAGGAAGAGGAGGAGGAGGAGAGCAAGACGAGGAGGAGGAAGCGCCGAGCTGTACGTAAATGAGATTAGATCTGCGGAAGCCATTATTATGGCTGTCAACGCGAGGCTGTTACAGCTTGAGCAGGGCTGACCGATCCCCCTCACCCCTCTCCGCAACTCGGCAGTATCGCTCTCACCCTTACTGCAAGCGTGGAACATGCTAGCATGACAGCCACTCTCACTCCCTGCTAGAGAGCGCACGGGGAGGAGTGTGTCAATTACTGCTACTGCATCTCACATACTGATAGATACGGTGACAACATCGTCTCCTGCAAATGCGCAGGTTGCAGGCGTGGATCACTACGATTGCCTCGATATATTGATAAATACTGTGACAACGGCTATACTAATGTTGATGGAGAAGAGTGGATGAGTACAAATCGTGCTATTGTTATTGCTACGTGGATTACCGATACATTCGGTGTACTGCTAGACTACGGTGGCAGCAGTGCTCGCTGTTCTATGGATCGCGTAAGGAGTGTATTGCAGCAGTACGGAGGTAGTGTGAGAAAGAGAGAAAGTGGATTAATGAACATCTGAAAACTGAATAACCACGGTAGCGGTAGCGCCGCTGCTATAGCTTGAGTAGGGAGTGCGTTGCAGCAGCACGGAGGTAGAGACAGAGAAAACAAGAGAGAGAAAGTGGATTACTGCTCATCTGATATACTGATAAATGCGATGTCAGTAGCAAACGCCTCTATAGTCTAGGTAGGGAGTGTGGATTACTGAACATCTGAGACCGTGATAAGTGTGTGAGTGTGAGTGAGTGCGAGCAGCAGCACATGGCGACATGATGACATTGTTGAGCTCCGTGACAGGAGCCCTCGGAGCCACCGTAGATAGGCTCTTCTTCTCCACGGACGGTTGTTATGACGCCCTGAAGAACCTCAAGAAGAAGGTACGTATGTGCGCGTAATAGGTGCGCGCGGCGCGGAGCGCGCGCGCGCGCCTGCCGGACCCGACGCGCTCCAGACCGCCATGTCTGCCGCGGTGTTGTGTGGGTTCGTGTGTGCTGGTCGACCTCGTGTAGTGCGTGGGAACGTTTGTGGTGTTCACGCTGCCGTGCGTGCGTGCGCTGCGGCGCGTGCGTACGTGTGCTCGTGTGTCGTGCTTGTGCTCGCCTTGCGTGTGCCCATGTGTATCCGCAGTCTTTGTGCGTGTGTAGTGCGTGTGCGTCGCTGCTGCGCGCTTGTGTACGCCGGTTACGTCGTGTGCGCGTATGTGCGTTTGCGCTGTCGTTCGTGTGCAGTGTGTGCTGTGTACGTGGCTGTGTGTGTGCGCGTGCGTGCGGTCGTGCGTGCGCTGTTGATGTACGTGCGTGTGTTGCCGTGGTGCGTGGCGTGCCGTGCGTTGGTTGCGTGCGGTGCGTGTGTCTGAAGCCCGGAACAGTGTCGTAGTGTGTGCTTGTGCGCGCTGTGCGTTGATGCAATGTGTATCGGCATGTCTTTGACTGGTGTGTGCTCGTGCGATGTGTACGTGCGTGCTTGCGATTGTGTAAGCCTGGTGTACGTGATGCAGGTGTGCGGCGATCGTGCGTGCGTGTGTTACGTAGTGTTCATGTGCTGTGTGCTGTCGTGATACGTTGCCGTGCGTGCTGTCGCGGCCGTGCGGTGCGTGCGTGACGTGTCGTACCGTGCATGTGCAGCTGCGTGTGTGTACGTGCGTGCGGTCGCGTGCGTGCGTGCATACGTGCGGCTGCGTGCGCGGTGCGTCGCGTGTTGCGTGCGTGCGATGCGTGCCGTGTTCTGCAGTGTATGCTGTGGGCCGCTTGCGTAGGAGGGACTGTGATCTCGCCATCGTTATTGTGCGTTGTGCTGTGTGCTTCACGTGTAGCGTCTGCACTGTGCGCGTGTGGCGCGGTGTGCTACGTGTGTGTGCGCAGTGGTGAGCGCTGCTGCGCGTGATGTTCGTGGTGTATCCGCATTGCGCTGTGTGCCGACCGCGGGCACGATGTCCGGCGAGGCGCCGGTCAAAAGCAGCTCGCGCCCGCGTTCTGTGTCACGTGCGTCGGCGTGCCGTGCGTGCATGATCTAAAAGAAGTGTGTGTGTTGCGGCATCTGCGTGGATGTGCTATTCGCATGTCTTTTGAATGCCGTTGCGTGTCGTGGGCGTCTGTAGCTGCCGCGCTGAGCGTACGCGTGTGGCGGGTTGCTGTGTACGCGCTGTACCAGTAGTGTGCGCGTCATGCTGCCTGGTTGTTTGTGCTGTTGTGGCAGCTCGCCGTCTTGCAGCCCCGCCTCCCCGTGCGGGCAGCATGGCGACCCGGCCGCGTGCGTCGGGTTGCGTTGCGTGCGGACCACGACCTTCACCGTCGCGGCCGTGCGTGCCAGTGTTGTACGCGTGTAGTGTACGTGCGCGTATGTGCGTGCGTGTGTTTAGCGTGTGTGCTGTGTGTGGCGTGCTGTGCAGCTGCTGGTGCCGTGCTGTGTCGTTGCGAATGCGTGCGTACGTTGCCGTGCCGTTCGCTAACGCTGTGTGCGTGCGCTGCCAGTGTTGTGTACGTGCGTGCGTCTGCGTGCGTGCCAGTGGCGCCCGTCGTGTGTGCGTGCGTGCCTGCGCTGATGCCGCTGGCGCTCGTCGGCTCTTGCTGTCGCTGGAGTGTGTGTGTGTGTAGTGCGCTTGACGTGCTGGGATGTGTGTATCCGCCATGTCTTTGTGCGTGTTCGTGCTGCGGGTGCAGTGATGGCGCGCTGCATGTGTCACGCGTGTGCGGTCGCTACCTGTACGCCGTGTGGCCGTGAATGTACGCGTGTACGTGTGTGCGCCGTATGCTGCGTCGGTGTGCTGTTCGTGTGTGGTATCAGATGCTGCGTCGTGCGTGCGTGGCGTGCGTCGCGTGCATTGGCTGCGTGATGCTGTACGTCGGTGCGCTGTGGCGTGCGTGAATCCGTGCCGTGCGTTAGCGCGCTGTGTCTCGCATGGTGTGTGTGTGCTGCGCATGCGTCGGCATGTCGTATCGCATGTTCTTGGCGCGCTTGTGGTGTTGCGTGTGCGTCGTGTGCGCAGTAGCGCGTGGTGTGTACGGCAGTGTACTGTGTGTGCGGTATAGTGCGGTTGGCTGGTTCGTGTTCTCGTGTGTTGTGTGTTCGTGGCGTCGCGTGAACCGTGCAGCTGCGTGCGTTTGCGTGCGCTGGCTTGCGTGCGACCGCGCGGATACTGTCAGTGCGTGTTGTACGTGGCCGTTAGTATGCGCTGCAGGCGGCGCCGTAGCGTGTCGTGCGCGCGTGCGTGCGTGCGTTGTTGTGCGTACTGCGTCGTGTGTACGTGTGGTGCGTGCTGCGTGCGTGCGTGCGTGAAATGTGTCCTGAGTGTGTTGTCGTGCCGCGCTTGGCGTCCGTGCATGGTTGTATCCGCATTTGTCTTTGTGCGTGTTCGTGTGCCTTCGTGTCCGCGTGTGGTGTGTGTACGCGTGTACGTTGTGTGCGCCGCCGTGCATGTTCGTGTGTGTGTGTGGTGGCCGTGTCGTCGTCTCCTGTGTACGTGACAGACCGCGCGACGGTGGTTCCGCTGCCGGTGCGCGCACCGCATCGGGCGGCCTCGATCACAGCGTCCCGGCGGGTCGCCGCCAGACCTGGCTCGGCTTGCTGCTGATCCCTGTGTGCACGCGTCCGGTGCGGGTGCCGGTGCGGTGCGGTGCATGTCGTGTGTCTGCAGTGTCGTGTGTGCGCGTTCGTGCTTGCTGTGTTATCGACTGTCTTTGTGGGCTCGATAAGTCGGTACCTCCTGTGTCGTTGCGTGTGGTGTGTTGGCGCTGGCTGTAAGCTGCCGTCGTGCCGCGTGGTGTACTCGTGTACGTGCGTGGTGCGCGTATGGGCGTGCTCGCCCGGCGCGGCGCATGGCCTGTGTGTGTATGCCGTGCGTGCTGTGCGTGCGCGGCTGCAGAGTGTATTGTACGGGCCGAGGCGCGGTCTTCCGATTGTGCCGTGCGTCGTGTCGATGCGTCGTGTCGTGAGTGTGTGTGTGTGCGCGCGCTTGCGTGCTGCACTTATGTTCGCGTGTCTTTCGTTGCGTGTTGTGTGGTGTGCTGCCGTCGTGCGTGTGTTGCGCTCGTGTTGTACCGCGGTGTACGTCGTGTGTGCGTATGTGCCCGTGCGCTGCTGCTTCGCGGCGGTGCCCTCACCCTTTTTTGTTTGTGTTGTGTTGTGTGGCGTGTGGTTCTCTGTGTGATGTGTGTGCGTGTGCCGCTGTCGTACGTCGTGCGTGTTGCGTGCGTCGCGTCTGTTGTTTGTTGTGTCGTGGGTGTCTTTTGTTCTTCTGTTGTTGCTGCCGTTGCCGTGTGGCATGTGTATCCGCATGTCTTTGCTGGTGCGTGCTGCGCCCCGGGGCCCGGCGAGGCTCTCGTGCGTGGTGCGCGCGTGTGTGGGCCTGTACGCTGCGTGCTGTACCGCGATGCCGTGCGCCGACCGCGCGCGCGGCGGCCGGCGCGAAAATTGTGGCGTGCCGGCGCCGCCTGTGTCGTGTGTGTGTGCGTGTGAGCACGTCCAGTGAAGTCCTGCACTTCGGCACGCCGCGCATCGTTGCTCGCCGCGCAGTCGGTGCTGCTGTGGTGGTGTACGCTGCTTGCGTTCATACGCGAGTGAACAAGGCGCATCGGCGCCCTGTACCTCCGAATGTCACCACTGTCTCAGCTACGTCGCACGGACGGCGCTGCAGCAAATCGCGTTGTATTTTTTCCTCCTCGATGGTTATTTGCATCTCGTGCCGTGTTACTCGCGGTAGCACTGCCATTCACGCACGCAGCGCTCGTTTTGCTCGCAGTTGCTGCCGCCGCTGGCCAATCATGGCTACGCTGATGCCGTGCAGATGCGAGGCGTGTTTAGGCTATAATGATTACATGCCCACATTATAATACGCCGGATCCGCGCGTTGCGCGATGTATTGTTGAGCATTTAGAGCAAAGATTTCTGCTGGATGGGAAATGAATCTTTCATCGAGAACAGCCACATAGTCGCCACCACCGCGTTCGCAACACACTGCTTGCTTGTATTAGTGAAGAAGATAGCCGGTACAGCGTATAGATAAACATGGTTAATGCTCAGGGCAGTCACGATCTAGGGCTAGGGCTGCGTTTTAGCGATTACTATCAATTGATCATTGTGGAGTCAACTTAGACTATAGAATTACCAAACGCGCGATGACGCTGTCCCAAGCACGACTGTAACTCGATCATGTTAGGGTCGTAGGTTTTAGTGAGCTTCGTTTGACATCAACACCGTCCTGTCAACGGTGACAACCTTATGAAGACGTCGCAAACCACTATGAAACGTGACAAACATCGTGTAACGTGACAAACACTATGAAACGTGACAAACACCGAGTAACGTGACAAACACCGCGTAACGTGACAAACACCGCGTAACGTGACAAACACCGTGTAACGTGTCAAACAGAGTGTAACGTGTCAAACAGGGTGTAATGTGTCGAACAATTGCTGTCGCATTCAAGTCCCTTCATGTGATGATGATGCCGCATGCAAGCGTATACACGGCACGATCACACGCGTGTCTGCGCGGGTTACTCTTGTCTCTATCGATCTCATGTTATCGGCTGCAAACCAAAGCAATCTCGCCCGCCCGCCCGCGAGGACCGAGTGCAGCGCACCAACAAAAGAGCGGTATCCGTAGACATCAGAGTATCGCATGAAATAACGAGAGCCGTAGTTATCAGGGTAGTGCGTGAAATAACGAGAGCCGTAGTTATCAGGGTAGTGCGTGAAATAACGAGAGCCGTAGATATCAAGGTAGTGCGTGAAATA